ACCACACTAACATTCCAAACACAAATCACTCAACAACAAACAACAACTATAGCTGGAACTTAAACCCAAAACGCGTCTCACGTCCGGGAGCTATATCCCAGCATTCCATATAGCATAGTTGATCGGTACAACATTGTCCACGACGACAATGACTCGAACACATATGCACAAATAGGCACGCTCAACACTAAGTCTCCAGTACATCCAATCTTCACAACTCAACCACACATCAGCGAAACAAATACAACCGATCAACAAGACTAATTGGTCGAACATCAAACACAACACAATCACCACATCACACCACACTAACATTCCAAACACAAATCACTCAACAACAAACAACAACTATAGCTGGAACTTAAACCCAAAACGCGTCTCACGTCCGGGAGCTATATCCCAGCATTCCATATAGCATAGTTGATCGGTACAACATTGTCCACGACGACAATGACTCGAACACATATACACAAATAGGCACGCTCAACACTAAGTCTCCAGTACATCCAATCTTCACAACTCAACCACACATCAGCGAAACAAATACAACCGATCAACAAGACTAATTGGTCGAACATCAAACACAACACAATCACCACATCACACCACACTAACATTCCAAACACAAATCACTCAACAACAAACAACAACTATAGCTGGAACTTAAACCCAAAACGCGTCTCACGTCCGGGAGCTATATCCCAGCATTCCATATAGCATAGTTGATCGGTACAACATTGTCCACGACGACAATGACTCGAACACATATGCACAAATAGGCACGCTCAACACTAAGTCTCCAGTACATCCAATCTTCACAACTCAACCACACATCAGCGAAACAAATACAACCGATCAACAAGACTAATTGGTCGAACATCAAACACAACACAATCACCACATCACACCACACTAACATTCCAAACACAAATCACTCAACAACAAACAACAACTATAGCTGGAACTTAAACCCAAAACGCGTCTCACGTCCGGGAGCTATATCCCAGCATTCCATATAGCATAGTTGATCGGTACAACATTGTCCACGACGACAATGACTCGAACACATATGCACAAATAGGCACGCTCAACACTAAGTCTCCAGTACATCCAATCTTCTCAACTCAACCACACATCAGCGAAACAAATACAACCGATCAACAAGACTAATTGGTCGAACATCAAACACAACACAATCACCACATCACACCACACTAACATTCCAAACACAAATCACTCAACAACAAACAACAACTATAGCTGGAACTTAAACCCAAAACGCGTCTCACGTCCGGGAGCTATATCCCAGCATTCCATATAGCATAGTTGATCGGTACAACATTGTCCACGACGACAATGACTCGAACCCATATGCACAAATAGGCACGCACAACACTAAGTCTCCAGTACATCCAATCTTCACAACTCAACCACACATCAGCGAAACAAATACAACCGATCAACAAGACTAATTGGTCGAACATCAAACACAACACAATCACCACATCACACCACACTAACATTCCAAACACAAATCACTCAACAACAAACAACAACTATAGCTGGAACTTAAACCCAAAACGCGTCTCACGTCCGGGAGCTATATCCCAGCATTCCATATAGCATAGTTGATCGGTACAACATTGTCCACGACGACAATGACTCGAACACATATGCACAAATAGGCACGCTCAACACTAAGTCTCCAGTACATCCAATCTTCACAACTCAACCACACATCAGCGAAACAAATACAACCGATCAACAAGACTAATTGGTCGAACATCAAACACAACACAATCACCACATCACACCACACTAACATTCCAAACACAAATCACTCAACAACAAACAACAACTATAGCTGGAACTTAAACCCAAAACGCGTCTCACGTCCGGGAGCTATATCCCAGCATTCCATATAGCATAGTTGATCGGTACAACATTGTCCACGACGACAATGACTCGAACACATATGCACAAATAGGCACGCTCAACACTAAGTCTCCAGTACATCCAATCTTCACAACTCAACCACACATCAGCGAAACAAATACAACCGATCAACAAGACTAATTGGTCGAACATCAAACACAACACAATCACCACATCACACCACACTAACATTCCAAACACAAATCACTCAACAACAAACAACAACTATAGCTGGAACTTAAACCCAAAACGCGTCTCACGTCCGGGAGCTATATCCCAGCATTCCATATAGCATAGTTGATCGGTACAACATTGTCCACGACGACAATGACTCGAACACATATGCACAAATAGGCACGCTCAACACTAAGTCTCCAGTACATCCAATCTTCTCAACTCAACCACACATCAGCGAAACAAATACAACCGATCAACAAGACTAATTGGTCGAACATCAAACACAACACAATCACCACATCACACCACACTAACATTCCAAACACAAATCACTCAACAACAAACAACAACTATAGCTGGAACTTAAACCCAAAACGCGTCTCACGTCCGGGAGCTATATCCCAGCATTCCATATAGCATAGTTGATCGGTACAACATTGTCCACGACGACAATGACTCGAACACATATGCACAAATAGGCACGCTCAACACTAAGTCTCCAGTACATCCAATCTTCTCAACTCAACCACACATCAGCGAAACAAATACAACCGATCAACAAGACTAATTGGTCGAACATCAAACACAACACAATCACCACATCACACCACACTAACATTCCAAACACAAATCACTCAACAACAAACAACAACTATAGCTGGAACTTAAACCCAAAACGCGTCTCACGTCCGGGAGCTATATCCCAGCATTCCATATAGCATAGTTGATCGGTACAACATTGTCCACGACGACAATGACTCGAACACATATGCACAAATAGGCACGCTCAACACTAAGTCTCCAGTACATCCAATCTTCACAACTCAACCACACATCAGCGAAACAAATACAACCGATCAACAAGACTAATTGGTCGAACATCAAACACAACACAATCACCACATCACACCACACTAACATTCCAAACACAAATCACTCAACAACAAACAACAAACTATAGCTGGAACTTAAACCCAAAACGCGTCTCACGTCCGGGAGCTATATCCCAGCATTCCATATAGCATAGTTGATCGGTACAACATTGTCCACGACGACAATGACTCGAACACATATGCACAAATAGGCACGCTCAACACTAAGTCTCCAGTACATCCAATCTTCACAACTCAACCACACATCAGCGAAACAAATACAACCGATCAACAAGACTAATTGGTCGAACATCAAACACAACACCCAAACACAAATTACTCAGCAACAATCACCTGTAGCTAGGACTGAAACTCGATACGCATGGCACTCTTAGGAGTTTATAATTAGTCACGTTTTTCTACGGATGTACGTTGCGTGAGATATCTATATTTAGTGTATATCTTTTCAAAGAAGTTGGATGGTATGAAAAACTTCAGTTTTATTTTCGACAATTTGTATTTAATTTATCGTAGAATTAGTTCATTTAATTGGTTTAATTTTTTTAACCAGCCATTGTGATTGAATCTGTTTATAAATTATAAGTGTCCAATGATTGATATTATCCATAATACATGTGCTAAGCATGCGACAAGTTAGTTCGACTCGAATTTATTAAATATATTAAGCTTCAACCTCTTAGCTTCATACAATTGTACATCACGAAGAAATATTTAACCAAATGCCCTGGTACATTCAAGGGTTAGAAGAGTATAATCTCCGTCTCTAAATCCTTTCATAAGGCCACGAGTATAGAGACACTACCAAGGAAACCCTACTAGCTGTCTTCACGTGTCGTGTTTACAAAATCTAGATGACGAAAAGCGAGTGTCGGTTGCTTTAACCGGGTTATCGGATACTGTGGATCCGACTAGAGGATTTAGAAAGCTCTGATTTTTAAACCAGCGGTGTACACGGGCTCCAGAATCGTAAGGTGAGAAATGACGTTTAAACCTACGATCGGTTACCAGCTGGAATGAGGATGGATGTGCTTACGTCACTCCACTACCTGACAGCTTAAAACTTAAGTCGACGGTTCTGTGAGTGGCAGGCACTCTAAGTAAACCACTTGCCCCAATTTAGGTGCGCTGGTCGTATTCTAAGCTGCAAATAAATTAAATGATGGGTACATCTAGGAAAATTATCCGCGCTAAAAATCTCATTCGTACACATTATAGTCACAACTGTTCTTTTTGTTTTAAATTGAGTTTATCTATTCCTTTTATTCCCATGTGCATTCCTTTGTTTTTTAACTCACACAGCGGCTCATTTGTGTTGTAAATTCTGTCCCATCTAGAGGACTGGTCGGAAATTAAATGCTACCACCAAATACGAATTCGAAACGTACATGGCTTGGATGTCTTTGTAACTTTCTTTCACTTTCTCCATACAGGCAAGAGGAATTTCTGCAACTAAAAGAATTCTTCCCAGTTGTGTTTTTTTTAACTGAACTGACTCTCCTATCATTTCTTTCCCACTTTCATACACTAATTTCTACTCTTTTTTCTTTTTTTCATTATATTTGCTTTTCTTTACCTAGTTCTTAACAACCTCATTTTTACTCTGTGGCGCATATTTTGTTGTCACTTTGTACCAGTGTTTGTGTCAAAACAATACAATCAACAGTTTAAATTTGCAAGTCAGCATCGGAAACACAGATACCCCTACTAAGTTGTTATAGCCACGACTAACAACCCACAGAACTAACAATCTAATATATAATATACTGAACTATGATAAGGGGTTAATTAGATGGGTGGTCGAATATCTATCTGACAATGAAAGCTGTATTACATCCTAGTAACTGACTGTGACTAACTAATTACCTGTAACTCTATGACTGAGTTATCGTAAAAGGTCGTAACAAAATACAAACGAAATAAGGTAAAGATAAAGACTATGCATAAATATGCATATATGAGGGTTAAAAGTTAAACACTAAGTGCAATTATACTCACTTGTGGTAAAATCACATTTAACAAATCACTATCAGTTAGTGTTTTCAAATAACCAGTGAAGTGCTGAAGTAATAAAATACGCGTATGTCTTTCGTTCACCATGAATTTCTGAACAATTAACGGACTGATAAACTTCTGAAAGTTTTGAATAGATATAATCAGTTTGGGTTTGGGTGACTCTTGGAGGTTTTCTATATTAACAACCAGACAGTTAAGAGTGGATAGTGAAAGTTGAAACCAAAACAAACAAAGTTACTCGATAACAAAAAGTATATTTATCTGTTTTTGTAATCAACACTGGCAAAATAAATTAGAACCCAAATCGATGCTCATATTTTTAGCCACTAAACTGTGTGAAGATAACAAAAACTATCCATTTGCAGTTGGTTAAAACGATGGCTTTAAATTCAATAAGTCGTCACTGTAAAATTTAACTACACAAACACAGTATTATGTGCTTAACCAAGAATTGAAAATCACAATACCTACTTAAAGATAGATCAAGACTTCAAGAACCTTGCACATCTGATAGACTGACTCCTGAGATGTTTAAGGATGGTGGTCCAGTTTAAACAGTTAGACTGACCGAGATCTTAGGTAGAATCTGGGAACTGGACGTAATCCCCTCCAACTTGTTTCAGTCGCTAATTGCCTCAATCTACAAGAAAGGACAAAAGTCTTCTTGTGACAATCACAGGGCAATTAGTCTAACTAATATAGTTTCTAAATTGTTAGCCTCCATTATACTTAGACGTCTAACTAGAGCTCGTGAAGAGCAGACTAGAGAAAACCAGTCTGGTTTTCGACCTGGACGTGGTTGTATAGACCACATATTCACACTCAGACAGGTCCTGGAACACAAACACACATTTAGAAGTCCTACAATAGTTGTGTTCCTGGACCTTAAGGCGGCATTTGACTCTGTAGATAGTGAGGTTCTGTGGCAGTGTCTGTCATTGAAAGGTGTACCAAAGAAGAACATTAACCTCATACAAGCTCTCTACTCGAACACCGCTGGTCGAGTTAGAGCTTATGGCGAGCTGTCACCGGAATTCTTTACTTCAAGTGGTGTCAGTCAGGGCTGTAAACACTCTCCATTCTTGTTTAATTTTATCATAGACATGCTCCTAGAAATAACCTTATCCTCGTCTGAATTTTCAGGAGTAGACCTTCTACCAGGTGGCTCGCTTATTGACTTAGAATATGCCGATAACATACTCCTGCTTGGTGAAGACGCTGACAAAATGCAGAGTCTTCCGACCACCCTAAGCAACAATGCAAGCATGTTCGGGGTGCGTTTCTCCCCGTCAAACTGTAAAATTTTGCTTCAAGATTGGGTTTCATCGGCACCTGAACTAGTGATAGGGAGTGAAGTAGTCGAACGTGTAGACCGCTTCACTTATCTTGGGAGTCTCATCAGTGCTGATGGCCTGATGACTGATGAAATCTCAGCTCGGATACATAAGGCTTGATTGGCTTTTGCCAACCTACGTCACCTATGGCGTAGGCGAGATATCCGTTTGCTGACTAAAGGACGAGTGTACTGTGCAGCAGTTCACTTCGTCCTACTGTACGGATGCGAGACTTAGCCGTTAATAGTAGAGGATGTTCGTAGGTTACTAGTCTTCGATCATCGATGTCTCCGAAGCATTGCTCGTATATCGTGGGACAACCGAGTAAGCAATGCTATAGTTAGGAAACGAATTCTAGGTAGGGATGGCAAATCAACAGATAAAGTGGTGAAACCTCATCAGTTGAGGTGGTTGGGACGTGTTACGTATGACTAACCGCCGACTGCCTCGACGAGCTATGTTTTGCAGTGTACGAGTAGATTGGAAAAAAGCTAGGGGCGGCCAAACCAAAACATGGCACAAATGCATGGAGTCACTGACAAGTGGACTGAGTCATGTTGGTAGATGTAGGCCACCTGGTTGGGGTCTGCGAGACGATAGTCACCGATGGTTAGAGACCTTGAATGACATGGCTCAGAATCGTTTGCAATGGCGCAGGTGCATCCACTCTTTGTGTTCTCTCTAATTCTAACCTTTTGAACTCTTCGTCATCTCTACCTTTCTCCTTAAAAATTTATCTCACTGAATTATACTTCTCGAATCATATCTTCGCTCCCTAATCTTTTCTATTACTGCTAATACTTCTATTACTGCTATCACTCTTGGATTTGGTCTGACAGTTGCGTCTCTGTGCTGATGAAGCATGGGAACCTGAACTGATGTACTTACGTACGAAGTTCTGCGTTGTATCTGTCTTGTATCTGTGTCTGCAAATGAATGAGTAAATTAAATCGCGGCTTTTTATCAGAAGCTATCATGTACATGCATTCAAAATACATTAAATATTTTCTGGACAGATCAATATACTTTCTATCCACAAGCCTCCTTTTTTATCACACTATAAAGATGCACACAACATACAGATAGATATAACTTTAACAATCCATTATGATATCCAAACAATCCACAATCAGGGATGTGCATTGGTTTCGATTGATACTATTATAAAAATTATCAAGCATCCCGGAATTCGCCAGCATTAACTACCTAAAAGTATTTTTGGTTTGTCACCCAATATATTTCGACGACTATTTTCAGTTTCACCTGAACGAATTATATAGTTTCCATATTTAAAGTCGATAAAAGGCTCTCCAGGCAGGAAACAGGCTTAAAAAACGAAAGTATAACAATTTAAAACACCCATGAGCAAGCTGAATTAAGGTGGAAGATAATCCTGACACTACTCAAGATAGCTAATTCACATGAAAGCTGGCCATAGTCAGTGAATAACAGATTTCCCAGTAGACAGCTCTTAATATGGTTAAGAAAATCTGCGCTCAACACTTACATTCAAAGAAACTAAGTGGTTTTTGGATTGATAAATACGATTGGTTGCTTCCGTTAGATTGCAGGTTTAGAAAGTGGAGTAGATTTATCCTAGAAAGTTTTAATAACTTTCGCGTAGATGCTTGCTTGGTTATTGGGGTAACATGAGTTGTAGGAACTTGGTGTGGAATCCTATGTACCTTAGGTCGGTATTTGAGTTACAGTACATAAGTGTTCTAAGGAACCTTGATAACTTTAACTGAATTGATCAAAAACAAACAAATGTATGGGGAAAATGCCTTGCACAGTTAGCAGTCTTTTCTACTAAAACTGTAGCTATAAAATTAACAACCAGAAACAGAAACGAAAACGCACCTTCGCAAGAATGAAATATTTGTGCCAGTAGGGTTTCAGCTGGATAATCAAGGAAGATGGTACTTTCAAATATTTTTGGTAAAATACTGCGACAAAACAGCTCTTCTGAAATCCTGTTAAATATCTTTTCTGTAAATGACCTAGGTTCCAATAAAAAAGAATGAGAAAGGACGTAACGTTACTTGCACAAGCAACTAAATGACTAAGTATAAATTTACGTATAGACGCTTTGGACCAGTAAGGCCGACTAATTTACTTGAAATCAGATAAGAATCTGAGTCCCGATAAATGAAAGTTGTGCTTTAAACACTAAGGTAATGGTTTGGTATTTTAAGTCAGTCATTCACCTACAACGTAGAACTTCGTACGTACGTACATCAGTCCAAGTTGCTATACAACATAAGCACAAAGACGCAATCGTCAATTCAAATCCCATAACAGTAAAGGTAGTAGAAGTATTAGCAGTAATCAGAGAAATTAGGGTTTGAAGATAAGTAAAATGCAGTGAAACAAATTTAGAAATAGTAAGATGGGGGTGATGAGGAATTCAGAAGATTAAAATCTGAATACAAAGAATGGACGCATCTGCGCCAACGATTTTGAGCTATCATGTAAACTATTTAACCAACGGTTACAATTGTCTCGCTGACCACAACTAGGTGGTCAATACCTACTAACATGACCAGTTGTCCACTTGTCAAAGGCTTCACGAATAAGTGTCTTGCTTTGGTTTAGTCGCTCCTAGCTTCCCTCCACCCTACTCTTACATCGACGTTCGAGGTAGCTGGTGTTTGGGTATGTTCAACATGTCTTAGTCACATCAAATGATGGTTTGCTGCTTCATCAATCGATTCGCCATCCTTATATAGTACTGATGACTCCCAAGTTAGGTGAAGCAGTAAACTTACTGGTTTGGGAGCCGACGCAAGTCGACCCTAGGAGACCACTTAGCATTTGGAAGGAGAGAATTGCATTCCAAACGTTTGTATTGTTTAAGGTGGTTAGAATACTCATTCCCACAGAGGAAGGAGTAATTCTGCGCAAATCTTTGGTGCATTTCGCAAAAATTGATAAAATCTTCATAAAAGTTGGGAGGTTGGGAATATCAGATCAAGTAGACTAATTGGTAATAAGTTGGGTCAAGTAGGTGATTCGTAAACTTTCGCGTAGTCAAAAACCTTATACTTCATCTTAATTGTGGTTGACTGATTGCTAGTCAGTGACCCAGTGAACAATATATTAGAAACTAAAACTACAATAATTTAAGTGGCACAAAATAAGTTTCGCATGGGTAGCTACATAAAATAAACAAAGAAAATCAACTATCAAACAAGCTTAGGAATACACTTACCTGAAAAATACCTCCTTTTCTTCATCACTACGACTCATATATGTGTCCAGAAAATCCAGTGTAGAAATATATGGACTCCTAAATAACAAAATATGAAAATTCCCGACAACCCTACTTAAAAGATGGGTGGGCTAATAAATGATTAGAAGGTATACGCGCTTTAGGAGAACTGTGCATACACGATTTTACTAAAACCTGAGTGAGGTGATAGAATGGACCTACAAAAACGAAAAATTATGCGTGAGAAAGTACAAAACCTTCGACGCCTATCTCGGTCAGCGCACAAATCATTCGGCTAAAGCAATATATATCGTAACAGAAAGCGTATGCTGGATCAAAATTCAAAGCCTAACAAGCGTCAAAGATACTTTTGTAACCCACTTTTATATCCTGTTTCCCTTTTAAAGCTTCGATCTTCCGTATGTGGTCAGCTGACATATTCTTGAACTCCATAGCAAACTCAAAACCGCATAACTTCCAACACATATGTGAATCAACAAATATGCTAGTAGTGTCCACATTGTTGTGCGAAAGTCCAAGCTATTCAAGGGGACATTAGTCAATAATGCTTTACTGTATTATGCAAGAAGTTGAGAGCAGAAAGAAGACTATAAGATCCAGCTAGTAAGTCGTCCATGGTAGGATTGACAACGAAAGCATTGAATGGAACTGAGTTTTCAACTACCAAACATAAGCTATCAAGTGCATCAGAACAAGCTTTGTGAACGCGAAGAATGGACGGATGACGTAGCCTAACGGGTATCTTAACTGAGTTGTAGCAACGTTGAAAACGACTTACTGATGAGCTAAGTAAGAAATCTGACGTCTGGAATTCTCCAAGAAAGTTGCCTTTTATATCACTTTGCGAATCTTTATCCCCACTAGGTGTCCCATGCGTCTTAAGGTACTTGATAATGCGAAATTTGTTGTATGTAGGTTGAACTGTGTGGTGGAACGAAACCTCATAATTATCATTCTTGTAAACTGAAAATCCTCCCCTCAGGAAATCATTTTTAAATAATTGGATAGATGAGTCAGAAATACTATTGCCCATATATAAGCGTCGACTTCCTCATATGGACTCGTCGTGAGAACGCCGGTACGACCTTGGAGAAACCATGTCTCCCGCGACCCTATAAAAAAATAAACGATCTTCAAAAAGCAAAGATTGATTACCAAAAATAGAGAATGGATACTTTCTTTTTAAGTGCCCGAGTCAGTAAATATGATTCTTATTCATGAAAATGACCGTACTTATTCTGAAAGTTCAAGGATCAGGAAGAACAAAACATTAATGCTTACTTATATCTGTGTGGTGCTGACAGAAGGCCCATAATTTGCGTCATTCGTTTTCTAGTAGGTATTTATCAACACTTAATCTTCTCTCCAATGAGTTAGTTGAAGTTTTGGACACCAATTCTTGCAGCATCAAATTTCAAGAGTTTATTACTGTGTACGAAAACCTGTATGATATTTGTATTTTGTTTGTTCTTTTTATCAAAATTATTATGAGTAAGCTTGTCCTAAATAGCAGAAGGAGAGAGTGTGTCAGTCCCACAACAGTTCCTTAGTATCTAAGGAGTCATAGCAATGTCAGCTATCAACTCGCGTAAATTTCTATCATTTCTAGACTCTCCGTGGATTATTGCGCATTTATCCACATCTACTTTGGAGTTACTTATCTCACGGCATATCTGCTGTACAAGTAATCGTAGATAACTTCGAGTGACTTCTGTATAATTGGTGTATCTAAGTTATTGCATAATATTAGCCCTTTTTCACATTTTCCGTTGAGCAATATTCCGGTTTCGAATAAGATGGAAGTCCTCAAAGATCCGAAATTTTATGAGCAGCTGTTCCTTAAGTATCTGAGTTCTTTTAATTTCATGGAGTAACGAAATACTTGGCCACGTTGATAATTGGTAATCGAAACTCAGACAAATATGAAAGTTCTGCGATACTCTGGGCATTACATTCCTGTTTTATTTGTTATCCTCACCAAACGCTTAATTTAGGATGGCACCGAACACAGTGAAAATTTGTGCTGGTACCAAACAACGTGGTGATAATTAGCAAGGATATTCTGATCGAACTTCTCTCTACAAGAGGCTCGTTCTCAGGATACACGAAGTTACTGGTTTTTCATTCTGTCTGTCTTAGGTACAGGTGTTTAAAACCCACAGAGTTATACAAATGTTTTTAAATCCCATGTTATTTCGATGAACCACTGAGAGGGCACAGGCTGCTTACTGGAAATCCCGAACAACTCTGTCTGACTCCCTTATAATTGTTCAAAGGGGAAAAATTATTTTAATGACTGCCTCCAATTCTCAGTGCCGTGTGTCTTTTGTTGCTCCTTTTTTACTCTCACCCTAAAAGTTCATGACGTGGCTTGTCATGTAATGCAATAAACTGATTTCCTCAATGTGTGTCATATCCACTTCCAGCGTCTTTTCTATTTGCTTTTTAGCTGTAAATCAGTCTATTCTCCTCCACATTTGACTATTAGGGTGCTTTTCGATCCACAGATAAGCACTACTTTGGGTTTACATACGTTTCCGAGAACCTATACCTTACGGTGACGACGGCTGGTGCTTTAGAAGTTCGTTCTTCATATAAAATTTCCCTAGCGTTAGAGCTGAAAATTTTGACTTAAGTCATATGTGAAAGTGCTTCTGAGTTTCAGATATGACTTGATTATAGGGATTTCACTTTTTCTTTACCAGTTCGCACTTCTACTTCTCTGTTAGATCCTTGTATACTATTGATATTGCTCAGGCTCCAAAGCCCACTTCTCCTAGGGCCATTAAATTTGTTTCGGTTAGTTTGCATAATTTTGCTATTTCCTATTCACTTTTTTAATATCGACTGCTGTAGGCGTCACTGCCACTCCGAGAGTCTGAGCTTGCATCTGCTACTGTATAGGAAATGAAAATAGCAAGTCATCTGCAAAGATTAAATAGTTCAGCTGCATCCAGGCAACTCAGCAGACTCCGTTTTTCACAAATTTTCCGTTCTTTACAATCAAGTCAACAATCAGTAGTAGGCAGAAACGCGAAGGTGGACAGTTTTGTATGGCACCATTCCTTATTGGATGGCTTCTGTTAACTTCTTTTCGTGAACAACTTTACGAACTACTCCCTCATTGTTACTGCCAGTTGTGATGATAATCTAACTGCAAAATCCATGGTATCGAAGACCGTTTCACAAGTTTCTTTTATCCACAATAAAATATGGCACGAACCCTGAAAGAGTTACGAATTCTTCACATGTCTTAAACATTAAGTTGGCTCACTCATTCATCAGACGTAGAATACTGAAATTAATATATTGTCTTGTCCATGTTATCGATTAAATAAGGTCTTGTGGATTCCCTGTCGTGAACTTACCGGATTGGTTTTAAAAATATTCTCTACAATATCATTGGCAGGTGATTTCGTTCACATTCATAAGTTTTAATCTGACTTATATTTACTTAGATAAATATACTCAATAAAGCGCAGAGGTTAGATTAATTAGATAATTATGTCAACTGACGATTTCCATTGATCATGCCTATGAAATGTCATGTACCTAACATGTCTGAAAAATATTTAAGCATCATTATAGTGATAAGTTAAATTCTTCCCCTTGTCGTGACGCAACCCTCCAAAAAACACAGTATCTCCTGGTTCGCGTAGTAGTAGTAGTAGTAGTAAACAGCTCTGATCATTTTCAAAAGGTTAAACTTCATGAGAACGCAGACATGAAAATGAATCCTCTCCTGACTGCTTTCACTCAAAAAATGGTAGTGGTTCATTGAGATTCTGTCTACACACTGGGCATTGGCTTAACATTTTTACCTAGGGTTACGCATTTCGAAGTGAATACATCAACTCGTGCATTTGATGACAATCACTTAAATGTTCCAGTTCGTAAACCAAATGTAAGGAGTACATGTAGCTTCAACCAACTAAACGTGGCTGACTTTGACCATTCTAACATTGTCCTTAACATAAACAGACTAACTATCTAGTAGCCGAACATCGACATGATCGGATCTCAGCACTACGCCTTTGGTCAAAGTTGATCCCTACTATTTCATTTCTCTACCGGCAAAAAACTAACTAATATTATTTGTAAGTAAACAGTCCAACATAAGCAACACCTCATCTCAAATAAATTTCATGCTCTTATTCACGAGATTTCCACCACTAGCACTCTGATAATCTGTATGAGCCGTCAATAATACCTATTAAGTCAAAAAGACTATCTAATAATAATACAGTGGTGCTCCATAATTTGCGTATAAGAGCTTCGTCAGCTGGGATGGTCATTTCTTAGTCCATTGGATTAGGCATAGTTGGGTAAGTCAAATCGGTGGACAATGTGAAAGGTGGTCTGTCAAAAGGACCAGATATAAAAGTATTACAGCTAGAAGCGGCTGATAGCGGCAAAGATTCATTGTCATCCGTTACATCACAGAATTCAGAGCATGACCTAAAGGAGGAGGAAATATCGCCGTCAACAGCTGGAGGTCGTAAAACAAATATGTTGATGGGGTGAGCGTTAAAAAATGGTAAGGTACATGTATTGGAGGAGAGACCCAAGAATCGTAAAAGGTATTTCGGTTAGGGTGGTGTCTAGGAAAATTGGGCGGATGCACAAGCAGGCTAGTGTTATGAGTTATCTCAGCAACTCTTGGCATCCTAGTCTTTTTGTACGCGATCAAGGGGATAGGTTTTGGGTTAGAAACGGGGAGGCGCCTAAGGTTAGAATTTAGGGAGGTATTTCTGGTATGTGTGTCCTTACTCATAGGAGTCCTAGGGTTTTGCTGTATAGGTGCACCAGGTGATGAGATAACTCACTAAGTGCTTCCACAGCAACAGTGGAGGTCGAAGGTGTAAGCTGTTAGAGATCAGGAACATGTGCTCTGAGATGGATCTGGGGACTATAATCCTAACTGAAACATGGCTATCCTCCAACACTGCAGAAGATGAAGTGAGCTTGCAAGGTATGGCACTTCTGATGCGATAGGATACGCCAGACAGGAGGAGGAGTGGCTATGTATATTATCAGCCATTTCAGGGCGGAAAGACTATACGGCACCCAACTAACCGATGTGACAGAATCATGCTGGTGTTGCCTCAGAACAGATAGGACAAAATACTTTGTTGGAGGGATTTTCCTGTCCCCCTTAAGTACTAATGTGGTGCGCTCTACTTATAAGTAGTATATGACGCGAGTGTAAACGTAATGTCTGGCAGCAGAAGATGGGGGGAGATCAAGAAAGGAAGAGTGGGAACACAATGGAATTTGTATGAAACGCATGAATAGTGAAATGTCAGACAATGTATTGATGATGGATTGAAGATTCGCATATTAACGGTTACGATATGGTTTTCTTATTTTACTGAGTAACTCTTTAATTTTCGTTAAATACAATTCGGTTGCCCTCACCTGTGTTCTCCTTCACTACACTAAGTCCCAGAAAGATGAACTGACAGAGGCAATACTGCAGCTACCACTCCTAAGTTTGATGAAATACTGTTAGATGGGGATTTTAACACTCCATTTCTAAATCTCAGCAAACAGGGTACAACTTACAATGGTTGGTCCCAAAGACAACTTGGAGAAGCCTTTACAAGTTCAGGGCTGCCAGAGCATGTGTGCAGATGGAAAGTCCTCAAAGTTTGATCATTTGTTAACAGATGATTAGCTCCTGATTCAAAATGTTCACGTCCGTAAACCAGCAGAAAGTAGTGACCATGGCATAATCATGTTTAACATGGTCATAAAAGCTAGCTAATCCTACCTTTGCTACACTCAGACAACCTACACACGCATGATAGAGAATTATCTACATGCCTCATGGCCAAGGTTATGGTGAAGGAGAACAGCAGATGATCACTGGCAAACAGTAGGCGACATCTTCCAGAAAGCTGTGCTAAATAATGTACCTTAAGCAAGGCAACTAACACTTGCCACAGGCTAAAAGGAGGGCCTGGTATAAGTGGAAGGTCTCTGAAGGATTCCATGCGTAGTTCTTATTTAGCAGTGGGAAACAGATGCAGTCCAAAAGTTCGAAGTAATAGGAGATACCTCCAAGTGAAGCTAGCTGCCAAAATACATGCAAGCCCTAATTCTCATCACTACCAATACTGTCAAAGGTAATGGAATGGCTGGTGAACGAGCGAATGGGGGAGTAGATGGATTAGAACGAAATCCTTTATGAAGCTAAATAATGGTTTCGGAAAAACAGGTCATGTTCATCCAATCTTCTCATAGCATGGATAAACTGGAAAAATCTGCTTGGATTGAAAGATACTGGTGCACATAATATTTCTTGACTTTGTAAAAGCCATCGAAGTAGTACGCCACGTACTCCTAATTATGAAGGTTGCGGAAACCGGCTTCACTAACCCACTACTATCTTGGCTCAGGAACTACCTTGGGAATAGAAAGTCTCTCACCAAGTTAAATAGAGTGCACGAGAGTTGGCGAGTTTCAACATCTGGAGTTTCACAAGTGACCATCTCAGGTCCACTTCTGTTCCTGATATTGATTAACCATCTGTTAGACAAAGTTAGCTGAGCGGTATTGATCTACTTAGACGATGTAAAGATCTGGAGGTCCATTCGAAGGGAAGAGTATTCAACTGAGCCTCCAAGAGACCTTAAATTTTTAGAGAATTGGGCAATGAAAAACGGTTTAGAACTAGACCAGCGGAAATTTCACGTCATGTACATTCTGCCACAAATGATGCAAACGATTAACACACTCAATGGAAGTCCGCTAACTAATATCTCAGATCGCGATCTAAGTTTAATAATCAGAAAAAGCCTAGACTATGTAGACTATATGGATTATATCGGGACAGCCAAGACTAACACAACTATTCAATTTATACAAAGACAACTTGCTTCTGTCACCCCACAATTATTCTTAAAGTTGTTCAATACACATGAACGCCCAGTCCTTGAGGTTCACAATGTCGTGGCACCGATTCTCATTAAGAGAGACACAAATCTCTTGGATAGAGCGCAGAGACAAGCAACGAAATGGATGATAGGGTTGGACAATAAAATCCACGAGGGTAGAATCCAGAACTTGTGATTATTCTTCCCGAGTTACAGGAAAATCAGAGGTATTCTGACAATGGTGTACGACATATTAAGCACGACAAGTAATCCCAAGGTGAGTACCTTACCGAAGCATCACCACCACGCACCAAGATAATCCTCAAAAATTGGGCGCCATGCAGACGATACCCAGACTAGTGCAAGCCTCTTATCATTGAGAGCTGCTGCGACTTGGAACGATCTCCTAACCGACGTGAACACAGCACCATCAGTAGAAAGCTTTAAGAAGAGACTCGATAAACACGTACTCATATACGTGTTACCATCTCCTTCGTGGACCAGCTGTACCTGATGCATGTCTTGAGACCTGATAGTTATTATTATTGCCATCTCCTCAAATCGTTAACTTGGTCTATTTGACTATTATTTCTGTTTTCTCTCCCTTCCTTACACTTCTGTCGTCTCGCACAATCTTCGCTGTCAATTATTTCACTTATTTATCTATTTATTTACTTAGCTCTAAAGTCCTAACCGAAATCTTAACTGACTTCCGGTCTGGCAACGTGATAACTGCTAGTATCCAGAAACCAAACTGTCTTGAAACAAAGGTACTCATTTGAATCACGGGACTTTCAAACTCACAAAAAACTACCAACCGACTAGAACAAGTAAAGTCAGGTGGCTGGACCTCCATTCACTGGGCACTACCAAAGACTTGGAATGGTACTGAAAGAACATGAATCGTGCTCAGAGAAATCAACCGGATCATACTCGCTCACGAAAAAGATATTGGATAATAGCGCAATTTTAGACTAAGCGCTACATAATGCGCTCTAAAGGTGGGTGTGTTTGAGTCCAGTGAGTCTATTGAGTTTTTGATGTCTCTATTTTTCCTGAGATGTCTTAGTACGGAAATGTTTCAATAATCCTTTATCATTCACTTGTAATTATTACCTCATAACGTCCATGTCTGAAATATTCCACTTCAGATCTGGGTAATCTAAAAAATGGAAGATTTAATCTAAGAACGAAGGTGTGACAGTACTTCTACTTTTGTGTCTGTCTTACTTTTACCTAGGTTTCGAACTTATTTCCTTTTCTCGACCCTCCCCCAAACGTAAGCCTGGTTCTCCACAAATACATGCATCTCATCAACATACTGGCTTTAAAACTTCCCACGTACTGCCAGGACCAATCTTATCGCCTACTTGAATTATCATTTTAAGTGTTAAACAATTCACGGTAGATAAAGCTCAGATGCATATAGTTGGTAAACAGATGAGTAAAAATTTATAGTGTTAATGAAATGTATTCGATCTGTTCAGCTCTTAGAGCTATTATGAGGAGACTTCCCAGTTGATACAAATCAAAAAATGGAAATATCTCAAAGCCTGGCACGGTGCCTTGTTCAGCCTTCAAGAATACCTACTACAAAGGAGTTTTCGCTATCCTACGTTATAACATTTTCGGAAAACCAAACGATTGTAAAAGTAGAAAAGATTGACAATATAATTAATAGGTAAACTTTTAGCAACGCTGAAGTGAAATTAAAAAAACCTAATCGGATGGTTAAAATAATTGTGAAACGTTCGTGAACTGTAGTCTCTCTGGACTCCCAGCTTAGGACTTACATTCAGTAGAATGGCCGAAAACTTTTCTCCACCTTATGTTGCTACTTATATTGAAAGTCAGTCCTCTATAGCCTTGTTCCAAAGTCTGATGCGTTTTAGGACTGTTTCAACAACATCAGCTTTCCAAGATTCCTAGAACGTCAATGAAAGATCTCGAGGAACAATTCATATCTACTCCCGCGAAAGCTTCAATCAGTCAATCAATTAACAGCAACGTAGAACTTCGTACGTACATACATCAGTTCATGTTGCCATACCACATTTGCACAGAGATGTAATTGTCAATTCAAATCCCATAGTAGAAGAGATAGTAGAAGTATGAACAGTAATCGGAAAGATTAGTGTTCGAAGATATTATTCAAGAAGTAGGATCTAGTGAAATAAACTTAAAGGAAGAAAGATGAAGTGATAAGAAACTCCAAAGGTAAGAATTGGAGAGAACACAAAGAATGAATGCCCCTGCCCCATTGCAGATGGTTTTGAGCCATGTCATTCAGGGTCTCTAACCATCGGTGACTTTCGTCTCGCGGGCCCCAAACAGGTAGTCGATACCTACCGACATGACTCAGTCCGCTTGTCAGTGACTTCATGGATTTGTGCCATGTTTTGGTTTGGCCGCCCCTAGCTTTCTTCCAACCTACTCCTAAACCACAAAACATAGCTCGTCGAGGCAGTCGGTGGTTAGGCATTCGTAACACATTTGTTTTGGCCTGGTACACCCGACCGAAGCTGCTACCCTGACAATCTAATCCTTGCTCCACCCCCTAATACCTCTCTTATCTCCACGACTAACTCTTCTCACATTCCTTTATCACACTGCACAGCTAATGCAAACAATGCGAGTTCACAAAACGTCATTTCTGGTCTCCTGAAACCCCGCTCTAGACTGCATGTTGGAGCATTTAATGTACGGACATTGTGTCAAATAGGGCAACAGGCTTCATTAGCTTGGACTTTAGAATCTCGCTCAATCGATGTGTGCTGCGTCTCGGAAACGCGCATACAGGATCAGAGTAGCATCATTCACTTGACTTCACCATGTCAAGATAAAGAAACAACTCGATTTACCATTCGTGTATCCGGTAGTCCTGATGCTGCTTCCCGGGGTCTCGCTGGTGTAGGTATAGCACTGAGTCGTAGGGCATAACTAGCTCTCCTAGACTGGATCGCTGTAGATAGTCGCTTGTGCGCCGTCCGACTAAACGGGGAAGTAAGGATTCGAAAGGATAGGGACACTCGTCGTTGCCTCTTCGTCGTATCTGCCTATGCCCCCACTGACTGCAGTTCAGACGAGGTGAAAGATGAGTTTTACAGAAAGCTTCCAGACCTCCTCCAAAAATTTAGGCACTCTGATGTAGTAATAATGGCTGGTGACTGCTCAAGTAGGTAGACTAAGTGAAAATGAAAGACTTCTAGGTGGATGTTATGGTGTCGCGGCTCAGAGAACAGACAATGGCGACCGTCTGTTGCAAGTATGCTCAGATAACCGCCTATTTCTAGCAAACACTAACTTTAGGCATAAGGAAAAAACATCTTTTGACATGGCGACCACCGAAGTCGTCTCAACGTTGGACTCAACTAGATCACATTGCCATCAGCCACCGATGGAGGGGTTCGATAGAAGACTGTCGCTTATTGTGGGGCACATGTTTAGATTCAGATCATGCCCTAGTGTGAGATCGTATTTCTTTGAGGCTTATTGGGCCTAGGAAAGACACCGTAAGGAAGCCTCTTAGGGTTTTACTTAATGATAATAGGGCGAAGAATATATCTCAGGAACAACTAGAAAGACAGTTAAGCGATCATTTAAGCGATTCCCGTCCGGAGTCAGGTTGGGATGATATCAAGTAGGCTGTGGAAGCAGCAGTGATATCTGCTAGCAAGATAAACCGTAAGGCTAAGATGAAGCCGTGTATTTCAGTCGCATCCACCGAACTGATGGATGCTCGAAAACTCATCCCACCTGACTCCGAACATGACGAAGAGCGAAGTCAACTTAGGCGCAGACTGATCGGAAGCCTACGTAACGACCGTGAACATTGGTGGGTGGCGAAAGCACAAGCGATGAAAAAGGCAGCAGCGATAGGCAACACTAGACAACTTTTCCGCCTTATCAAAGAAACTGGTATTAGGAACCCGAATGTGAGTAAGACTATTTCAGAAAAGGATTGCAGTATCATTTATTCTCAATCCAGGACCGATGGGCAGAACACTTTAGAGATCAGTTCAACTGGCTTTCAGCCACGCTTCGGTTGCGCACGATCCCCAGTCATCCTGAATGGCAAATCGATTTAAGTCCTCCTAGTCTACACGAAGCTGAGAAGGCTATAGGAAATCTAAAGGGAGGTAGAGCTGCAGGTCCTGATAAGCTTACCCCTGAGATGTTTAAAGATGGTGGTCCAGTTTAAACAGTTAGACTGACCGAGATCTTAGGTAGAATCTGGGAACTGGACGTAATCCCCTCCAACTTGTTTCAGTCGCTAATTGCCTCAATCTACAAGAAAGGACAAAAGTCTTCTTGTGACAATCACAGGGCAATTAGTCTAACTAATATAGTTTCTAAATTGTTAGCCTCCATTATACTTAGACGTCTAACTAGAGCTCGTGAAGAGCAGACTAGAGAAAACCAGTCTGGTTTTCGACCTGGACGTGGTTGTATAGACCACGTCTTCACACTCAGACAGGTCCTGGAACACAAACACACATTTAGAAGTCCTACAATAGTTGTGTTCCTGGACCTTAAGGCGGCATTTGACTCTGTAGATAGTGAGGTTCTGTGGCAGTGTCTGTCATTGAAAGGTGTACCAAAGAAGAACATTAACCTCATACAAGCTCTCTACTCGAACACCGCTGGTCGAGTTAGAGCTTATGGCGAGCTGTCACCGGAATTCTTTACTTCAAGTGGTGTCAGTCAGGGCTGTAAACACTCTCCATTCTTGTTTAATTTTATCATAGACATGCTCCTAGAAATAACCTTATCCTCGTCTGAATTTTCAGGAGTAGACCTCTCCCCGGTGGCTCGCTTATTGCCTTAGAATATGCCGATAACATTACTCCTGCTTGGTGAAGACGCTGACAAAATGCAGAGTCTTCTGACCTACCCTAAGAAACAATGCAAGCATGTTTGAGATGCGGTTTTTCCCCCTCGAAATGCAAAATGTTGCTTCAAGATTGGGTTTCATCGGCACCTGAACTAGTGATAGGGAGTGAAGTGGTCGAACGTGTAGACCGCTTCACTTATCTTGGGAGTCTCATCAGTGCTGATGGCCTGATGACTGATGAAATCTCAGCGCGGATACAGAAAGCTCTATTCGCTTTTGCCGGTTTACGCCGTTTATGGCGTAGGCGAGATATCCGTTTGCTGACTAAAGGATGAGTGTACTGTGCAGCAGTTCGCTCAGTTCTCCCATATATGGATGCGAAACATGGCCGTTAAGTGTAGATGTTTGTAGGTTACTAGTCTTCGATCATCGATGTCTCCGAAGCATTGCTCGTATATCGTGGGACAACCGAGTAAGCAATGCTATAGTTAGGGAACGAGTACTAGGTAAGGAACGTAGATCAATAGATGAAGTGGTGAAACTTCATCATTTGAGGTGGTTGGGACATGTGTTACGTATGACTAACCGCCGACTGCCTCGACGATCTATCTTTGTGGTGTAGGAGTAGGTTGGAAGAAAGCTAGGGGCGGCCAAACCAAAACATGGCACAAATGCATGGAGTCACTGACAAGTGGACTGAGTCATGTTGGTAGATATAGGCCACCTGGTTGGTGTCCGCGAGACGAAAGTCACCAGTTGTTAGAGACCTTGAACGACATGGCTCAAAATCGTTTGCAATGGCGCAAGTGCATCCATTTGTATTGCTCTCTCGAATCCTAATCTGGATTCGTCAGCACCTCTATCTTTGTCTTTCTAACCTTATATCACTGAATTATACTTCTTGAATAATATCTTCAAACTCTAGTCTTCTTCATTACCATTAATACGTCTACTATCTTTATCACTATGGGATTTGATTTGACATTTTTGTCTCTGTGCTAATGTAGTATGGCAACATGAACTTATGTACACACGTACGAAGTTCTACGTTGCAAATGACTTTGTCCCAAATTCGAATTTTGGTTTCTGAACCGGTTTCCAGTAACAGCTAATCTGACTTTAGAGAGCATAGTAGTTGCTGACTGACTGTAGTTAGGGTTTGTAAGGTAACAAAACCAAGATGCTTAAGCTCTAAATCGGTTGAAGTAGTGCAAGTTTATTTCCTTTTATCATCGTCCAACTATCCGGTTTAGTGTTGATTCATACTTTTCATTTGTATCTTTTGAATTAAGATATCTTTTTTATTATTTCGAGTGGTTTTCTTTTCATCTTGTTGATTTGGTCTTGGTATGCCAATACAGAGTATAGGGTTTTAAACTTACGTGCAGTTATATCCAGTCTATTAGCATAACTATTATTGGGTACTTGAAAACCCTAACATTCAGCAAGTTTCGTAGAATAGTGCTCGTAGTTCAAATGGTTAATTGGAGGGAATCTTTGTAAATCTCTGCGTGTAGATTTTATACTTGCCGAAATCTGCTTCAGAAGTGTCCGTTACTTCAGGGAATATCGTGCTTTCGTGGTTGTTACTCATTGGTGCAGTTAAACTACAGTGACCTGACTTAGAAGTATCCTTGATAGGTTAGTTGGTCACTGAAGAGTAGCCAAAGAACTTGTGAAATATTACAATTTCTAAATCGTGTTATTATCGTCGTTTACAATCTTCTTTTCTGGTCTTTCTGGGGTATTACGAAAATAAATTAGTTTTTACTAGATGTTGTGTAGTCTGTAAAAGCTGTTGGCTATGTTCCTAGAACCTATATTTATTTTTGAACGTATTTTACATGTAACAACCTATAAGATCATTTTACACTTCGATTTTATTTTTTTAAACAATGATTAGCTTCCATCCTCATTACTTTGTTAACCATCAAACACTATGGACAAAACTCAAGTCAGTTCTATTCCTGAAAATGAAGGGTCAAATCCCGACGTTCCTCCACCTGGACAATGTTTTCCATCGTCATTTTTAACTGTAGGCACTGCCGTAAGTGCCAAGTATCGTGGTGCATTTTGTGAGGCAACAGTAGATCATGTAGATCTAAAATTTCGTCTCCGTGTTCAGCTAAAGTCCAACAAGGTAATCTAATTATATCTTTTTCTCACAAGTATTGCATGTGTTTGCTTTCCATACATCTTATTTTTGGATTTCTTCCATCACTCTTGAGTAACTTAAGTACAGGCACTGAGAGATTCAATCTGAAGTTCTTAAAAGCCAAAATTAAAGGGTTTATTAATTATAGTGTAAATAAGTTTTCAGTCTATTATGAATGATCTCAATATCCCGACTTTTGTTTCACTTAATTATTATCCTTTACTGTAACTTTTTGGTTAACTCGGATTGCATTAAGTGACCTGATTTTAGAGACGTATCTCATCCTAGGAGATGCGGCATACCTACAATTTTTAAAAGTATGGTTTTGTTAGGTGAGAACGCTAGTTTGAGAGTTGTTTATGAGTCATTCGCTTTATAAATTATTCTTCACTGTCAGAATCTATCATTTGCCCGACATATACTAGCGCTCTTTTCACTCAGCATGTAACTACACTGTTTTAGTCACAAGGCTAACAAAAAACAAAGAAAAATATCGGAAAGTAAAACTGCTTTTCATCGCTTCCCATACGAAATATATCCATAAAATTAATGTAACCAGGCTTTCGCAGACAACTGTCAACTTCCTAATGAACCATATTTTGAGTAGTCAAGATTTCTCTTTGATGCCTCATATGACTTGAGAATCCAGGTTGCCGTAACCTTAGTCATGATTTAAAACAAATTACTTAGAGTTAACGTTTTCGTTTTGTCATTTCCTTTCTCCACTAGTCTTGTATCTCCGTTGATGAAACCTGTTTGATATCTGGATCTCCTGTCATTGGGAATGAAGTAGTAGTTCGAATCGTTAATGACACAGCGTTACCTAATGAGCAGGCTGGCATAGTACTACGTGTCACAGATTCCAGTATTTACACTGTTGGTACGTTTTTAAAAACTATTTCAAATGAAGTAAATAATGTTTGTATTTAAATGTAGTTTAGTCTAGTGTCTTTGTATTTTCATGACATGGTGCGTCTTTAGCCCCCATGGTTGCGTGTACTTAATGGTTGTACCCGACTTGGGTTCCATACTTAAAATTACTGATTATTATTTTTCATTATGCTATCAAGAAGGTTCAAAAAAATTTTAGCTGCTAATTTATGATGTATATCGTTATTTTCAGAAAGGCATTTTACACCTAAAACTTTTGTGATTCTCGTACCATGTTCAGTCATACAAGTTTTGATATGGTTATTTTGTGTATAAACACGACAAGCTTTTCCTAATTATCTTAACTAGTGTGTCAAAGTATTCCTGTTTGAATATGACATCGTTGGTGGCAAAGCGAACATATCATAGTTCAGGTCTAGTCATTCCAAGGTGAATTTCATCCACCACAGTCTTATTAGCACTCAAGCTTACAGACATATAAAGTTTTTGAAGAAATCCATAAATTTTATTCAATCTATGATGTAGCTCGTTGATTTGGATACTCAACTCACATATTCAAACGTTTCTCCATTAACCAAGTTTCAGGACCCGTGATAATATTGTTAGATTTCTCAAAATAGGTATAACTTCCACCTAATAGATCGATTTTCATGTGCTTGTTAGGGGTTCGCTTATCTAAAGTAGTGCCACTTACAAATTCCAGAATTTGCACGAACTTTTAATTATTCGTCCTTGTCAGTTAGCTAATTCTGGGATAACTTTCTTTTGAATAAACTGTAGTATAAATGATTTTGTAAACTCTGACTATTCCTTTTTTGTACAATGATCTAATATCTTAATTAAAATTTAGTGATTGTCAAACATTACGCATATCGAAATTGTTTTCATTCTTTTCACTGTTTAGTTTTTGATGATGGTGATAAACGAACATTGAGACGTACTCAACTCGTTATAAAAGGTGAACGTCACTTTAAGGAGAGTGAGGTATGAAAATATGTATTCATTTTAAGCGATTCTTTATAATTTTTCTGGTAATTTAAAAAATCTAGTGAATCGAATTGTTATGCAATTATGTGTTGAATGACTAGTAATACTTGATTATACTAGGATAACTTATTGCAAAACTATTATGTTCTTTACTTGTACGGTATTTGAATGTCTTCTTGAATTCTTTCCTTACAAGATAGACAAAACAGTTGAAAGTAACTCATATTAAGAACTTACAGATGTTTAGTGTTAGCAGTATCCTTCAGACTAAATGCGAAATTCTTCTAACAGGTTTTTCTATATCTTTTCTTGTCAAATCACATCTTTATCACTGAAAAATTCTGATTTGACTAGTTAGCATATTTACATCCAATTTAAATAGCGATTTCTAGGTAGACAGCAGCTATTTATATTGTTGAAGTCATGTTTAATAACGTCTCATGCTAATGAGCTGCACTGTCTCTTGGACCCCAACGAAGGAGTTGTGAGGGACTTACAGTTACACCAGTTCTGTACAGCTTTCTTTCATACCAAAACATCATGTCATACTCTGACCACCTCTCCGTTCTTTCCAACTAGTCCCAACGTAAAAAATAAAGCACAATATGAAAGCCGGTATTGTTCGTAGTAGATGTCCAAGCCACCAAAGCTGGTGTTTTGAGATGGTGCCACCAAGTGAGTTACCATCGGTGTCCACGAACAAATTGCCGAACCTGTTGATTGCTAACACTGTGTTGCCACTGAATGTCGTCAATCCTTCGGAGACGACAATGACTGGACAGTGAAAGAGTTGTTTAACATCCACAGGCCGGAGCAAACAGGTTTTGTCAGTGTAGGATGCAAACAGGTTTAGACTGAGGAATAACTGTCCAGCTAGTTTAGATACGCAGGTTGACCAGTTGAAATCAAAACAAGTGATTTGGGTAAATAACGGTTCTAATATTCATCATAAATACAAATGTACATCATTACCTTAACAATATTACCACTCAACTACTCCACCGACAACTGTTCAATTATTCAAATTAACAGGAACAAATAAATGATATTCTATCCCTCCTGGATAGATCAGATTTGTTCGACTGATAATATTTGGTTGCTGTATAACGCAGTGTTTCCTATTCTGGAAGAGTGCTCCAATTCACACTCAAAATGCACAATACCGGTCAAAGCAAGCAATCCAGTCAAAAGAGGAACAAATCAATATGACTGTCGCCATGACTAAGTATCAGCTAAAACAACATAAATGCAGTTTTGAAAGAAACACAGAAACTCAGTAGAGGCGAAGAAATAGAAACTATAATAAAATATAAATATTATCATCTGGAAATTGAATCGAACAGACTAACAGACTAAATGTACAACTGAAGGAATCAATATGGACAAATTACAAATGTATACATGGAGGGATTTTCACAAAAAAGCCTTCAAAAATGGATCTTACAGTCAGTATGGAACAAACTGCTCTGAAAAACGCGTTGTTGACCCAGTCTGTTACAGCCAGACCAACGTGATGATGGCTTCGAAGATGGCCAAGATTGGCATAAATTGCTCCCCGCTCACGCTACGCCAGCAACCGATGGTAGCTGCTACCTTGATGTTGTAATCGGGCTTGCCTGTTGCGGTGATGGTAGGACTAAAAGCTGCTATTTTAGGTCTGAGGACGAAGTCGTACTGCTGACTGTAGAGAGGTGTGACAGCAGTAAGCTGTTTCCCTCGGACAACCAGCATCTGCAGCGATGCTGCATTCTCACAAGGAAGGTAGTGGTTAGAAATGATCGACCCTAAAAATGTCACACCTCACCTTACCCCATAGGTTTTCGTCTCTGTCGGTAAGGCCTTTTGAAAGGCGTGCCATTAATGCGTGCGGTGTCTCCGAAACGCACATACAGGGTCCGAATACAGTGATTTATTCGACCTCACCTTGTCAAGATAAAGAACCGTTTCAATTCACGCTTTGTGTATCTGGAAGCCACACCGCTGCTTCCCGTGGCATCTCTGATATAGGTATAGGATTGAGTTCTAGAGCAGTACTAGACCTCAGACTGGGTTCCCGTAGACAATCGCCTGTGCGTTGTCCGGTTAGTTCAACCAAAAAGTTAGGTAGGAGCAGTGGATTTTGTTAGCATCTACTAAACTGGCAGACGCTCGGTAACTCATCCCATCTGGCTCTGAACATGACATAGGGCGGAGTTAGCTTAAGCACAGGCTGATAAAAAGCCTATGCAATGATCGCGAATAGCGGTGGGTAGCGAAAGCAAGGGAGATGGAAAAGGTAGCAGCAATAAACAACAGTAGATTACTATTCAGACTCATCAAGGAAACCGGTTTTAGAAATCCGACTGCAAGTGAGACTATCTCGGAAAAGAACGGTCTTGTTATTCATTCTCAATCCAGGAGATTGGATCGATGGTCAGAACACCTCATGGATCAGTTCAACTGGCCTTCAGCAACACTTCGGTTGCCCACGACCTCCATTCATCCTGAACGGCAAATCGACAAAAGTCATCCAACTCTTTCTGAAGTTGAAAAAGCGATAAGAAATCTGAAGTGAAGGCTGGTTTCAGGGTCTGACAGACTAACCCCTGAGATTTTTAAGGATAGTTGTCCAGTTTTAGCAGCTAGATTGACTGAGATCTTAGGTAGAATCTGGGAACTGGACGTAATCCCATCCGATTGGTCTCAATTACTGATTGTCCCAATTTATGAGAAAGGACACAAGTCTTCTTGTGACAATCACAGGGGAATAAGTCCAACTAATATAGTATCTAAAATATTGGCCTCAATAATACTTCGACGCTTAACGAAAGCTCGTGAAGAGCAGACTAGAGAAAACCAGGCTGGTTTTCGACCTGGACGTGGCTGTATAGACCACGTCTTCACACTCAGACAGGTCCTGGAACACAGACACACATTTAGGCGTCCTACAATAGTTGTTTTCCTGGACCTTAAGGCGGCATTTGACTCTGTAGATAGTGAGGTTCTGTGGCAGTGTCTGTCATTGAAAGGTGTACCAAAGAAGAACATTAACCTCATACAAGCTCTCTACTCGAACACCATTGGTCGAGTTAGAGCTTATGGCGAGCTGTCACCGGAATTCTTTACTTCAAGTGGTGTCAGTCAGGGCTGTAAACACTCTCCATTCTTGTTTAATTTTATCATAGACATGCTCCTAGAAATAACCTTATCCTCGTCTGAATTTTCAGGAGTAGACCTTCTACCAGGTGGCTCGCTTATTGACTTAGAATATGCCGATGACATAGTCCTGCTTGGTGAAGACGCTGACAAAATGCAGAGTCTTCTGACTACCCTAAGAAACAATGCAAGCATGTTCGGGATGCGGTTTTCCCCCTCGAAATGCAAATGTTGCTTCAAGATTGGGTTTCATCGGCACCTGAACTAGTGATAGGGAGTGAAGTAGTCGAACGTGTAGACCGATTCACTTATCTTGGGAGTCTCATCAGTGCTGATGGCCTGGTGACTGACGAAATCTCAGCGCGGATACAGAAGGCTCGATTGGGTTTCGCCAACCTGCGTCACTTATGGCGTAGGCGAGATATCCGTTTGCTGACTAAAGGACGAGTGTACTGTTCAGTAGTTCGCTCCGTCTTACTTTATGGCTGTGAAACATGGCCAATGAGAGTAGAAGATACTCGTTGGTTATCGGTTTTCGATCATAGGTGTCTTCGAAGCATTGCACGTATATCCTAGGACCACTGACTAAGCAGTGCTGTTGTTAAAGATAGGTGTTAGGTGAGAATGGCAGATCGATTGATGAAGTATTTAATCTGAGCCATGTTAGTAGGTGTAAATATCAATATCATCATCATCATCAATATAAGATTTTCTATTTGGTAAAATTAAACTAAATTTAATTCATCATTATACATTGAATATTACTGTTTTCATTTTCTTGTGTTATTTCTTTTCGAGAACTATTTTTCAAAAAAAAGGTGAACTAATCTATACCTTTAAACAATCAATTCTTACGTTGTCTTCCCTTCTACAAATTATTCTTATTTCATTATCCTATACATTTACTAATTATTATAATTTAGTAATATTGTTATTTTCAAATGCAATTTAACTATATCTTATTTGTTTTTTTCTTCGTTTTTAATAAATACTACGGCGAATTTCTTGAAATTTTTTTATTTCAGAGTTTGGATTGTTTACCTTTAACTAATCCAGAACAATTTCGACAACCAGTTATAGATCAGAGAAGGAAATATCGATCTGGGTAAAAGAATATTATTATTATTATTATTATTATTATTATTATTATTATTGAGCTATCTAGCTGTACTTACGGTTTTCGTCATAAATTTACGTCATCTAGAGAACCGTTAAAAATACGAGTGTATCATTGGACGGCTTTTTTACCTTCAGCTAAGTACTCTCATTCGGAATACACCCAAGATGTGATTACATTGGGTTAGATCTCAGAACCTTTTGGTCTCGTAGCTGGCATGATACTTGTTTAAAATGCATTTGTTTTCTAATGATCAACATTTTCAACTTCAGTCAATTATAGCACGACAACCGTCAATTCCCATTGGTGGTTAGGTAATTTCTTTGTTTCGTACACCATTGGATTCCATTGGTTACATTTTCTCCATGTCCGTTAACTAGTTACGACATCTGGCATCTCTTTGTTTTAAAAAAAACTTGCAAAAGGTATAGCCTTCCCCTAGTAAATATTATGAATATGAAGTCGCGTCACCGATCGTATAAACTAAGCAACAAAACTAAATCCACCGATAAAATAAACTAAAAACAAATAAGCGATGAGGAATGCATTAGATGTAAAATAATCTACCAACATCGTTCATACTAATGGTCAGTGATTTCATAGATTGATGCCATGTCTTGTTTTAATTACTCCCAATCTTTCTTCCAACCTACTATACTACGGGTTGTGTTCGTTAGTGTAGAAGTATGTTGAAAATAAGGTTTGGAGTGATCAAACGAAGACATAACGTTCGTCCATAAAATCATATACTTTTGGTGTGAACCGTGTTATCAGATGTAAACTACCTGGTCGCGGAGTCCGTACATTTTTTGTGATTAATGGATGAAGATGTTGAATGACATGGCTCAGAATCCTTCTCATTGTAGTGCTTACATTCAGTATTTATTTTTCTCTAGATTTTTCGTACAAGTTTTACTTTATATGTATCTTTTTATTCTTCATTTTCTGACCATGTTCAATTTTTAATCATTACCATCTCTATATCTTTTACTATTCATCTTGTTATTGTAATTTCATGCTAACGTTGGAGGGCGATTCGGGTCAACATAAATTTTTCCCAGGTTCTACGTTGATTGATTGATACATATCTGAATTTCACTTACATCTCACTGTGCATAATTGATATTGTGTTAGATAATCATTTATTATTTCTCTTGTTTTGAACTAGTTTTCCTAATACTTTCTCATACTTGACAGACAGATACAACGCAGAACTTCGTACGTACGTACATCAGTTCAAGTTGCCATACCACATCAGCACAGAGACGCAACTGTTAGTTCAAATCCAACAGTGATAGCGATAGTAGAATTATTAGCAGTAATAGAAAAGATTAGGGAGCGAAGATATGATTCGAGAAGTATAATTCAGTGAGATAAATTTAGAAGGAGAAAGATAGAGATGACGAAGAGTTCAAAAGGTTAGAATTAGAGAGAACACAAAGAGTGGATGCACCTGCGCCATTTCAAACGATTCTGAGCCATGTCATTCAAGGTCTGTAACTATTGGTGACTTTCGTCTTGCGGACCCCATCCAGGTAGTCTACATCTACTTACATGACTCAGTCCACTTGTCAGTGACTTGATGGATTTCTGTCATATTTTGGTTTGGCCACCCCTACCTTTCTTCCAACCTAATCCTTCACCACAAAACATAGCTCGTCGAGGCAGTCGGCGGTTAGGCATTCGTAACACATGTTCCAACCACCTCAACTGATGAAGTTTCACCACTTCATCTATTGATCTGCCATCCTTACCTAGAACTTGTTTCCTAACTATAGCATTGCTTACTCGGTTGTCCCACGATGTATGAGCAATGCTTCGGAGACATCGATGATCGAAGACTAGTAACCTATTTGACTATATTCCCATTATTTTATATTAAAATATACAATTTCGATCGTGTGTATATGTTTGTACACAATACATGAGTGTTTAGGTTTTTATTTACATTAGAGGTGATGAAATAATATTTAGCATTGAGGAAGGGGAATATCGGTAGTTGTCGTAATTGGGTGAGGGTAGAATATTGTTCAGTTAGCTTGAGTTGTCTGATATTAGTATTGTTTTTCATTATTTATATCAAAATTTATCATTTGATATAATAAACTGTAAAACATTTACCTTTTTCTTTGCTTTCTACTATCTCTTTAAATAACAGTGAAGATGGTTGTAGCATCTTAGATGAGAATATGGATGAAATTGAAACTGAAGATGTTGACGAGAAAAATGTGACTAAAGACTTGAATCAAACCACTTCGTGTCAATCTAATGGAAATTCAGACAAATTTACAGATCGCAATGATATAGACGATTTTGATCCAAATTGCTCAAATATAACTGAACATAATGATGAAGGAAGAACTCGATCATCAGAAGCTAATGTGAATGTGTCAAACACGGCAACAACTGATTTGAAACATTTACCTGCTGGTTATTGTCGTTTACTCGGTCGTTTAGTCATGGTCGATATGCCGCTAACAGGGAAAGGTAAATAATCTTTCAGTTGAAGTGGTTTTTTAGGAACTAGTTTAGTTATGATATTACTGGAAACTAGGGACCACTGCACAACAACAGTGTTCAGTCACAGTCACTCAAGAGGTCGAACCCAGAGCTTCCAGGTCTCACGATAAGTGCTTGAAATCAATCATACAATTCCAAATTCACTCAACTTATGATATAACATGATGATTAATAAATGTCATTGGAAATAGGTGTCTAATTCTCGATATATCTAAACACAGCAGGTTGCGTTTTCTCACCAGAATGTCAGTAAATTCTTCATAGAAGTCATTAATCACCTGACGATTTTAGTTTAGTTGAAAGAGTTTTATGGGGATAGGCTCAGATTATAGGTCCCACTGCAATCTGACTGAAGTTATAATTATACCACTGGACCCCGACCTAGTGATTCTTTTGTTTAAGCTTTCGTTGTCAAACCTAATGGTCCTGGTTCTAATCCCCGGTAGGGCCATGGGTAACCACGTGTCAGAAAGAAATACCTGTTTGGTGCTCGCTAGTTTTCAGCGGTACTCCAACTGAGCTCAATCTGTGGCGATCACAACATATATGCATATTAGTGTTTTAAGATTTCTTTTCGTGTATTTATTGACATATTTTATGTATTCTATTGTAGATGGTTTAGGCTCTCCATCGTATGGATCGTCTACTCCAGCTAGCAAGAGTTTTGGGCCTACATCCAGACGTCGATTCACTCCAGCTGTGGTTGTTCTACCATCTGCTATGCCAAGTATTGACCTAGGAAGTCTTCCAAATACTGTTAAATTACAGAAGTCTTACAAACTTTTGGTTCGGTCATTTAAAGATAACAGGTTTCTAGCAGTTCCTGTTGCATTTGCTAAACGATTAAAACGACCTGATGCGGTTGAACTTGCCCACACTTATCCAACACTTCGTCCAGCTTTTGAGCGTGCACTGCTTTGGTTGGATCGGTATGAATTTCCGGTTTCTTGGGGTGAAAATGCTGTGCAAACAATGTTAGGCACAAAAAACTGGCGATCTTTAAGACGTCGTTGTAGGCAAGCAACTTCAGATTTCACAGATTCAATAAATTCTAGCCCTTTAAGTTCAAAGCATACACGTGCTTCATCATCATCATCTTCTGAAGCCTCACAATCTCCAAATACTTCCCGGAGTTCAGTTCAAAAATCACGGGGTAGACCAACTAAGCAACCTGGAAATTCTATTCGTAAACGACCAAGACAGTCAGATAATACCCAAGGTTCTCGGTCAAGTTCACGCCTGAAAATGAAAAGATTTAAGACACATAATTTGCATTCGAGTAAAACTTGTAGACGACAAAGTGATGTTTCTTCAAACGAGTCAAGTCATTTGGAAACCTCTAAACAACCTACCACCAAGTGTAAAGTTATCAAGAAAAGCACTGATAGTCGTCGTAAGTCAGCTACAGGTTCAAAATATGGACGAAATTCTATTTCCGGTGGTGATTCATCCGATTCAGTAAGTTCGAGTGAAGCCTCGGGGAATTCTTCCGAATCGGATAGTGACACTGGGTCAGTGAGTTCGTCAACTAACAGTAATATAACTGTATCTACTGTTAGTACGCCTAGCAGCACTAGTAGTCTGAGTAGTAGTAGTAGTAGTAATAGTAGCAATAGCAGTAGTAATAGTAGTGAAAATAGTAGTATCAGTGGATCTTACAATTCATCAGATAATTCATCAACATCGTCTGTAGCTGAATTCGAAGCACGTGATAGATGGATTGCTCAACTCTATCGATTTATGGATGAACGTGGTACTCCAATCAATAAAGCGCCTAGTTTAGCCAATAAGGATTTAGATTTGTATAAACTATACAAGGTGAGTTTTTCAAATTATTATTATTTCCTCAATCTGTTTTCATATTAAAATGCATGCACCAAAATGAAGTTTTTCCGTTTAGCGTCAGCATAAGGTATCTTGACTGTTATATAAATACAGTCGTGCTGGTTTTTTAATTAACTCTAGTTATTTTCATTGCATTCAACTAATGACTTTGTAAGAAGAGGCGGGGAATATTGTTTATGAATTTCATTTATGTTTGTGCATTTATTCTATCTTGTCTAACTGAGAGTGAATTGGTATGATAATAAAAACTGATCACACTGTGACAATACATAAATGGATAAAAAATACGATCAACTCTCAAGATCTCACTTGTCATTGAGGTGTATCAATATCGGGAAGTAACATCTGTTATATTTGTGACGGGCTCTACGTTGTTGATGACTGATTGATTGTTAGCTGTTACAGAATTCATATTATTTAAAGCTGAATAAACAAAAATCTGTGTTTGTTGGTTTGCCCGGTTTCTGTTAGAGAGGAATATATATATATATATATATATATATATATAATAGCTACTTGAAGTTCCCTTAAACTTAAGCATCTTTTCGTATATTACCACTATTTTCTCTTGGATATTGTTCATTTAGCTGGTTCATAAACTTGGTGGCTTTCATCGTGTTTCTTCACAACTGAAGTGGGGTTATGTTTACTCAAAAATGGATTTGCCTCAAAACTTCAGTGCTGGTCCACGAAATCTACAAGCTGCCTTTAAGAAGTAAGCTATTTGTATTGATGATTACCGTAGTTGATTTCTTGTCAATTATACTGTTAAAACTATTGCTTGGTTAGGAGTTTAAAATACACCGACCTAAAGGTAATTTTTCTTTTATTGATTTATCTATCTTTTTTCCTCATCATATTTGTAAGTTTAAATTCAAACCAAACCACCGAATTGTGGATTTTGTAGTTAAAAAGCTTGACTTCTAGTCGATATACTATAGGTTCTAACCTAACTCAGTCCACTTCAGTATAAGGAGCCATGTAGTTCCGTTAGTCTTCACACTACACGACTCAAACATGAAAAAATAGACGTATTCTTGGTTAGTGAGTTACATCGTATTACAGATATTCAGACTTAAAATGATCTTGTTTGACCTGTTTAAAAAAATTTTCTTATCTTCTTTACTTATATAGATATTTATATCCATGGGATGATATCAGTAAAAAGTTGGGTACAAATCTTTGTGAACTTCCATTGTCCAGACCAAGATATCCTTCTTCAGTACAGAATTCGAATACCAATATTTCGGTTACCAGTTCATCTGGAACTATTACGAACAACAGCATCACTTCCATCAGCACCTCTTCACAGAATAAAAAATCCGCTGATTTTGACAATTTTGACATAGAATTAAAGGATTCTAACATGAATGTTATTGAAACAGGTGAAAGTTCAAGTGTTGAAACCAACAAAAATATCCGGGCTACCAGTAGTAGTAGTAGTAGTGGTACCATCAATACTACAACTACCACCACTGCTACGACTACCGCCAACACCACCACCGAAAACACAACAACAACAACCATTAAAAAAAGAACTTCTGTAAGTATTAATCTGAATTGCTTTTATCGTATAGAAAAGAAAAACGTTTTAAATGTACTATTTTTACAAATCATACTTTTACTTATATTTTCTTTTTACTGTTAGGTTAATGACAAACACTTAATAGTTGATCGTTTTAAACAATCTGATGATGAATATACTTCTACTGCCACTGCTGCTGTTGCTGGTGCACATCCTACTACACCAATACGAAAATCACATTCATCACCATCCTCATCATCTTCATTAACTGGAATAGATAAATCGTCTAATTTATTAGTATCTACAGCAGATGAATTTGAAAAACCTATTTCTTCAGCTTCATCGAATAGTTCATCTAAATCAGCATCTTCAAAAGGACGTAAAAGATTCTATGACAATAGTACAATGATAAATCTTCCATTGTTAAATTTTAATCGGGAATCAGCTAATCGAGTGGAAAATTTATCTAATTGTGTAAGTTTACCTGTTTTTTTCTTCTTTTCTTTGGTATAATTTTTATTTTTCAATGTGAATAATATAATCATATTGATGATAGCCGATCACTATTTTAACATTGTATTGAAGAGGTTAGCTTATTGATTGTTTTATTCAATGGGCAGTTTAATTTATAATACTGCTCGGCGGCCTATGTTCCATTTTGGGGGGAGGGTAATAGGCGTAAGTAAGTAAGTTTATTTCACAACTAAGAAAGTTCCTATTCTTTGGTGAAAAATGTTTCAAAGAAAAAGACATCATTAATTGATCCGAATCTCTTGGATTAATTTAAGGGAATTTTAATTGAAATGAATAGAATATGAAGTCCTTACTTAAAAAAAAACACAGACTAATCCTTTGGCCGACTGTTGTTCATTTTTGTATTGTTTGTATTCTGATGTTTGTTAATTCTCATTGAATATTAGCTGTTTTCTTAGTTTCGTTTACGAATGCACGTAAACACGTCATTTGATATGCTTGAACTATTATGCGTCTACCTTAGTCGGAAAATGAGAGCGAAGGTTGAGGATCCGGCGACATGACAGACTACTCTAATCCGAACATCCCAAACCCCCATTGAGTAAAAGAAGAAGAGTTGATATGAAGTATAACATGTATCCTACAAGTATCCAGAAAGTAAGATGTGCGAGTCCAGAAGAATGCAAGGATCTCGGACCAAGGATCCGGGTCCGGGTCATAAAACGTTACAGATAATGCGTATTTATGCAGTTAGGTGAAATAAGAAACAACATTGAAGTCTGTGACATTGACAGTTAGGACGACCGATAGGAATTAAACAATAGAATTAGGATATTGGATGAATATCCCAACAGTTTCATTATTGACATATTGGTTGTTCGGTTTAAAATCAAATGATCTTTTCTACTTTTACAAAATATCAAACAGAAAGTCGTAGCTTACCATTACAATAACAATTATGAAATTTCTTTATTATTATATTTAATAATTATTTTGTGTACGTTGCCTATCTTTTCTTTTCGGTAGATTGTTTACTAGTTCCGAGTTACAATGTCAATGCCGATCGCACCAACTAATAATTATGACTCTTCGTTTGATGCATAGCGCTATAAAAATAATAGTTGATAATAAGTATGATTAATTTTAAGATTTTGTAACACATTCGATCTTTTATGCGTTTCTATTGGCATTTTATTTCAGATTATTCCTGTTCGATCACGTGTTCGAGTTCGATGCGGTGATCATGTTGCTTATGAAGCTAAAATTTTAAAACATTTACGTCCTCAACCAGCTCTTTGTAATTTAAAAGCTAATAATTCTGGTGATTCTTTACCAACTGCTTCATGGGCCGGTGCGAATGAGATACAATATCGTGTTCATTATATGGGTTGGAATACACGGCATGATGAAGTTGTTCCTAGATCTCGTATAATGTAAGAAATTGTCAATGTGATTAGCCTTATAGTTTTCCTAAATAATATTAAAACCTTTTGTAATTCTTCATTTTAATTTTACAATTACAAATATATCGTTTGATCTCTCTTTGAATTGAAAAGATATAAATTTAAATTTGAGTTGCTCTAATATTCATTATAAATTCACAATGCAATTTTTTCTTTCAGAAATGATTAATTGTATTTTCAATGTATGTGAATACATTCAAACATTGCTGCTAATAATTCTACTATCATTATCACTCTTGGATTTGAAGTGACAGTTACGTCTCTGTGCTGATGTGGTATGGTAACCTGAACTGATGTACTTATGTACGAAGTTCTGCATTGTATCTGTCTGTCTGAATACATTAAACAACATATCCTAGGTTTTCATTGTAATTGCTATTCACTTATACTAAATCACATTTCCAATTACAGGAAAGTATACTTTTGTAAACTTCTTATTCTTACTGTTGATCATTAATTTCCGATCTGATTGATTGATCTGATTCATTCATTCACTGTTGCATAACATTTTCAGATCGATTGCTTTTACAAGCGACCATTTGACCATTGCTAAGTCATAACCTATGGTGTGCAACAAGTCGATAATTATACAGTTATGTACCAGCGACACTAAAACTTAGTCAATCATTAATTGTGATTTACACTATCTATTTATTTACGCACTCTGCGTTAATAATTTAATTTTCTTTTAGTACTAATCACTCGAACTTTCAGTCATATCGATTCAGACTGTTGATCTTGTATTCATACTCGAAAACCTGTAAACAATCCCACCGTTACAGCATTCATTCATATTTGTTGTACCTATTAAATAATTACATCTTTGATCAATCAAATAATATCCGCGTGTAATCAGTTTACTGAATCTCTTAAATGACCTCAATTTTAATGCTTCTGTATATTAGTTAGCTAATCAACCAGGAACTAATCCATTCGTCTCGTGCTGTTACGGGTATGAGGGCGGTTGTCACTTCCCGGCTGCCCACACCGTGGAAGGTTGACCGACGGAGACGGAAATCCGTGAGGTAGGGTGAGGTGTAACATTTTTACGGTCGACCTTTTCTAACCCTTCCTTCCTTGTGAGAAGGCAGCATTGCTGCAGATGCTGGTTGTCCGAAGGAAACACCTTACTGCTGTCACACCCCTCTGCAGTCAGCAGTACGACTTCGCCCTCAGACCTTGGGTAGCTGCTTTTAGTCTCATCGTTCTCCAATCGACCTTTTTGGCATGTTAGAACCTTCAGGAACATAAGTTCTAGTCGATATACCTCAATTGGGTCATGACGATAGGCAAACCCGACCACCACGTCTCGGTAACAGTTACGTTCGGAAATCCATTCAGTGAATATTTAGCATTAGAAAATAAAGTTTCTATTGTCTTCTTAACTAATTTGAAATTGTAATATGAATCTATTCAAACAAAACTATATATTTACAAATAGTAGACTAACTTATTTCATGTTCATTATAAAATACATGCTTTAATTGCATGTCTACTAGTGATTATCAAATCTTAATCTTTTCAAACGAAAAAAATAATTATCATAATCATTGTGTGGATTAGGTGTACTGATGATATGAGTTTATTTTTTGAACAGATTAAAAATTCTCATTTGAATGAACTATCATGTGTTTTCGATCACTTCATCATCATCAGATAAATACCATAGTTATTTTATAGAGGCGAAAAGAAAGCATACTAGTGAATCAATGTGATATGTTAGAAAATGGCTAACGACTTTTTTTTATTTGCATTACGGGGTTGTGCTCACTAGTGACTAGCTTCGTGAGGAATCTTCTCCGAGTTCTAGTGGGAAGACGTGACCAGTGAAGTTCAACCTGTTCGGGTGTAGACAGTAACTACCGAAGACTGTGTATGAGGTTGCGCAACTCCGTGAATATGATCAAGTTAGACATTAACACCGTTAGATACCGGCTCAGTGGTCTATCGGTTAGGGCGTTCGCGCACAATACCGAAGGTCCTGGGTTCGAATCCTGCGGGGTGCAGGAGTCGTGGATGCGCACTGCTGAGGAGTCCCATACCAGGACGAAACGGCCGTCCAGTGCTTCCAGGTTTCTAACGGTGGTCTAACATTGATCGATTCATGGTTTCAAAAATGTTTTTTTTGTTTGTTACGGTGTGAATCATTCAAAATTATGTCATTTAGAAATGACAAAGGTCATTTACAAAAGATAGGAATGATTCGTTGTAAGGTTGTAATCAATATGATAATAAGGAAATGAATCGTGTGAATTGAGCGTATAGTTGGATTATTTTTCATTGTTAATAGAGATAATAATAATGTCATATGAAAATAGTATGTAATAAGAGATGTACGATCATGGTAGTTATACTAAGAATCCATGCGAATTGAGAAAGATGAAAGAGCATGCAACAGTACTTAATTTCGTACTCTTAGCAGTAGTGTCACTCAAAAAGGCGTTTCATGTCCATATAGTCGACTGTGTTGTAATTTCTCGTTTTAGCCTCCATTAAGCCCTGATGATTGTTTTGCTTGCCTTTTGTTTCGACTAATTTAAGTTCAGACTTTCTGTCGTTACATAATGATGATTTGATGACTGTACATCTTGTCATATTTGAATTAACCGTTTCAATCTGTTCTTACTTTTATTTTTTTGTAGTTCTGTGATAGAATGGGGTCGGGGTACAGATGAAGATCGTCCACCATCTTGTTCTTCTTTAAGTCCAATAGTTCATGAACCTCGAAAATCTACTTCGTTAAAAAATCAGAATATTGTATCACATTCAAAAAATGAATATGATCGATCATTGAGTTCTAGTGAAATAAATGTTAATGAAAAAGATAAACATTTATTGGAATATTTTGCTACCGGAGATGCAAATGAAGATACAGAAAGTAATCATAGTCAAACAACTGAAACAGCATCTGACAATATTACCACAACAGCACCAATTATTCGACGTCGTCGTTTAATGTTCTCTTCCCTAAGACCTGGTAGACGACTTTCATCTCGTAAATTATCTTCTATTTCAAAACGAAATGAATCTTGTTCTAAAAAATTATCAAAACTACCTTTATTGACTAGTGAATGTGTAGCCAAAACTCATTCTCCTTTAAGTAAAGATAATTACCATAGTAATGGTAATACTGCGAAGAAACTAGAAAGCATTAATTCTGATTCAAAGAAATTAAAAATAGCTTCCCGTAAGTAGTCTTTTCTTATAATCATTATGTTTTGTAAATATAAACAGGTTTTGAATGCTACTTATTCACATTTAGTCACATATGTGCATTTTTGTATGTTGATAACGGCTTTTGGAGTGTCGGTTCATATTAGTCAAAGTATTTGGCTCTCAAACACTGGGTCACATGTTTGAATCTTGCTCTGACTTGGGTTTTGGCAACCTGATAGTATTATTAATCTCCCCCTACATGCTAAGTGCTGCTCGAAGTCATCTACTTGGTGGATGAGTTGAGTCATAATTTAGCGTTCAACGTTTGACAATATTGTCCGGGCATCAGAGTCACATCAAATAAATGATTTGAGTTCAGTATTCATAGAATAAACTCTTGTACTTCGGATTATATCTTGAAACCGAATTTCATAATGAAAAATTTGGACTTGTAATACGATAGCGATCTCGTTCGCGCATAGTTAGGAAACGAGCACTAGGTAGGGATGGCGGATAGGTGGATGAAGTATTGAAACATCATCAGTTGAGATGGTTGGGACATGTGTTACGTATGCCTACCAACCGACTGCCTCGACGAGCTATGTCATGTTGGTAGATGTAGGCTACCTGGTTGGGGTTCGCGAGATGATAGTAACCGATGGTTAGAGATTTTGTATGACATGGCTCAAAATCGTTTGCAATCGTGCGGGTGCATTCATTCTTTGAGTTTTTTCAAATCCCAACCTTCAGAGTTCCTCATCACCTTTTTTAAGTTTCTTTCATCAGATTATAATTCTTGAATAATATCGTCGAACCCTAATCTTCTCTGTAACCTCTAATACTTCTACTATCGCTACCACTATGGGGTTTGTACTGACAGTTGCGTCTCTGTGTTAATGTGGTATGGCAACCCGAACGGATGTACGTACTTACGAAGTTCTACGTTGTAACTGACTAACTGACTCGTTCGCGCATCTAATTTCTCAAAAAATAATGAAGGCAGTTTTTTTATTTGAGAATTATTAACTGTTAAGTATAATTATAATAGGAGATCAATAGTGACTAGCAGCGTTTTTCGCCCTATTTGGAATTGGTCAGCTGGATGTATCTCCATTTCAAAATACATATTTACTCCGGGACTTGAAATCCTCACCGTTCGCTTTAAACGTTATCTTATTATCCACTGAGCTACTGAATCCAAATAGCCATTGAATTGTGCAGTGAGATAAAATTTAATTCATTTGTTTTCGTTGTTTAAATCTTTCTATTGATTATTAGGACTTCACTTAATCATTTCAATTGAAGTCCTAAACATCTATGGGAAGATTGAAACACCTAATGCCAATGTACTAAATGTAATGTTTTATGAAGTTTCCAATCAGTTGTAGTGAGAGTAGTGTCCGACACTAATATAGGTTGGCCTAGGTCTTCATGCTGCATTAGCATGACGAAATTCAGTTATCCAGTGGAAGAGCGAAAAATATCGAAACTAATGTAGTGACAACAGTAATAATGGAACATTGAGAATATGGTTCGAAGGGGCATGAAAAGTTATATGTAAGGGAATATTATAGCTTAAGACCTAGTTCAGACCTTGTATTCAGACCATTAACCTGGCTCTAGGGTACATCGTCCAACTTTTCTAATCATTACCCGTACTCTTCTAACAAATAAAACTCATTGACTATAATCACTTTAATGTACTTAAAAAATAACTCACACTTTATGCTTGGACTAGTAATTCTATGTGGCTACTGAAATAGTCTGATTGGTTTGTCGAATTTCACCTAGTTGATTTAAAGCGTACTTATACATACACTAACTATAAATATAGAAAGATCTGTCCAAGCTTTTAATTACAGTAATAACTTGTCATCGGTAGTCTATTCTCTAACTTTGCATTTTTTTATGTGAAACCATATTGTATTGTTAGTCTTTTTACAGAATAGATATAGTTTTGCTTCAAGATAATTAATTTAGGACTTTATCATTGATGAATCATTTGAAATGTATGATGAATCATTGGTGTTTTTGTGAATGTAAATGTCAACCTACTTTGTTAACGCTATAGATTTCGTTGCAAGTTTAACCACTTAGAACAATGATGAATTATTATGGTTATAATTATAAAAGAGAAATGATAATAATGAAATTTGTAGTTATTTTGTGTAGAAAACCTTTAAGATAATTACTTCCTGTGTATACCTTGAGATAAAACTGTTAAACAGGCAGATAAGTATATAGATACCTGTGTCGGTAGAATTCGGAAACTTTCACTCTTATTGCTTAACGAGAGACAGAAATAGACAGAAGGGAGAGACGGAAAGGCAAGACTGATTAAAGGTGAACCTTAAAAGTCTTAATTAATCTCTTCCATTCGGACTATTCAAACTGACGTTTGTTGGATATCGTTGTATAATCTACATTTTCAATTGTAAGATTAGTTTTTTAATAAGTAAACATTCATATTTTCATCATAACTGAAGCTTCTAGTTATACTCTGATATTTTGTTATTATTGTTGATAATTCAGGCGGTTGTAAATCTAACCAACGATCTATTAACGTACGTGGACGTATTAGTAAGAAAATCAAGCCTATTAAACGGCCTCGTTCAAATCTATCAATTGCTTCAGATGTTTTTAATACTAGTTCACCAAATCGTTCTTCTGTCAAATTATTTGGTAAATCAAAGAAATTAAAAGTGGAAAATCCTTCCAATGAATCAATTAATTGTGAAATATCTCACAATACTACTAATTTATCAGCTGCATCAGTAGTAGAAGATACAAAGCGTTGTGTAACTGATGGGTCATTATCTGTAAATTACAAGAAAGAATCATTTGATGGTAATAATAATAGCATCAATCAGTCAAGTCGTAAGTTGCTTACTAAAGTGACTTCTCGGTGTGCATCATCTAGTGGTGGTCTAGCATCAAAATCAAAGTTGTCAACTTTGAGTAAGTTTTTTCTTATGGACGTTCGTTTTGTTTGCTTTTGGTTTGTATAAAAATTAAAATATGCACTCTTACTGTGTACAGGTAAGGTGAGTATAGTTTTATATACTGGAATTCATATTATACCGATACAGTTTGGTCGGATTTTGAATGTATGATGTGATGGTCGATTGGTTAAACTGGTGTTCATTGTCACAAATCGTATGAGAATGAACACAAATGAAACATTCTCTGGAACTTTACTAACTCAATGTATCATGAGGTTCTGTGGCAGTGTTTGTCATTGAAAGGTGTACCAAAGAAATACATTAACCTTATAAAACTCTGTACTCAAACACCACTGGTCGAGTGAGAGCTTATGGCGAACTGTCACCGGATTTATTTACTTTAAGTGATGTCCGTCAGGGCTGTCCACTCTCTCCATTCTTGTTTAATTTTATCATAGACATGCTCCTAGATATAACCTTAACCTCGTCTGAATTTTCAGGAGCAGACCTATTACCAGGAGGCTCGGTTATCGACTTAGAATGTGCCGATGACATAGTCCGACTTGGTGAAGTTCCTTATGTTTCATGGCCACATGATACGTTTAGAATACAAAGTCGATCCCTTTGTTTCACTGAAATCACGTTATATAGTAATGATTATCAATTACAATCGATGTACAGATGGCTTACTCCCTACATAATTTAGCTTCACTAGTTGTGTGCTCGTAGTAGAGCTTTGGAAGTCTGGCCGACTTATTGGTACTGCTCATTCAAAAGTATATGGTAACTTATGATGCCCTGAAAAAAGAACAGAGTTTATATGGATTGCAGGTATCTAGTAGCAACATTTGGACGTAGCAGTAGGTATCAAACTGGTCGTAGAAAATTACGCACATGTATGGACACTAGAATTTCTACGTGGAATAACGCAATCTGAATATGCACATCTAGACATGTTAAATTGTGTTACAAAAGCTCTATGATGTTAGTAATATTTCCGTCTACATCAAAGTGATCTTACCCCCCCCCTCCCGGTTTTGAATGTTTTTTTTATGTGTTATATTCAGTCAGTTAGTGTATTGCGGGTATTATTTTTCTAATTATAATCAATTGCTTTTGTAGATTGAGTAGTAATGAACGTGTCGGGGTCTCTGGGTTCGAATTTTAAATGTCTATGCTGTTTGCTTACTTAAGCCTATTATAACCAATTAGTTTGTCAAAAAATATGAAGAGTAATACACAAACTGAAGGATTAAAATAAGATTGCATCACGATCAAGAAGTAAAAGAAAAATGATAAGATTAAACCAAATGCATGAACGATAATAAGTGACTAAAAAAAATTAAAGAAAAAACAGGATAAAGTATCAATGACTGACTGACTGACTGTGTGTAAAATATTACGTAACAAAATTATAATACGATGCACACGTCTCTCAAGTTTGAACTGTTGAACCGCTATCACAACAAAATTGTCCATAAGATATTGTTGTAATATATAGTTTGAATGCTCAATTTTTAAGCTCACTACTTTGAAATATTGTTTAGATGTTTTTATACCGTCAAACATAAATCTAAATATGGTTTTAATTGGTATAAATGATAAAATGACTTATACACATACTTAATAATCTTATGGTAATAATAATAATTGGTTCACCCAATATGTTCTACCTGTTTATCGAATTATTGTTAAACGAAACTTGGTTATTTGATTCTTTATCACGAATACCAGCAGTCGACAGAATAGAAGTTTTACTGGAGAGCACAAAGGACAATATTTTTGAGAATGGATGTAATGGAGTATACTTATGTGATGGCTTTCTAGTTTAAAAAAGGCATTTATAACCTATTCAAAGTAAAGTTTACCTAACATGTTCGAGGTGACGTGAATAACAGTTTGCTGCCAAATATGAAGAATTACTGTAGAGTCTTGATTCAGCAATTTGAAAACTACTTTTTTGATTGATCATAGGGTAGAGGAAAGGAACAGTAGGTGAATCGAAAATAATTTAAACTATGTAAAAACTGCTATTCCTCCTCTCGATGCACACCGTTATTTATATGTAGCCTTTTGATATTTGCCCTTGTTAATGTGTCCCCTCTCGCTCGAGCTTTTATTAGTGTGAACTGTTAAGAAATCCATGTAGCATAACGAATAATCATGTCGTTTTTGTTTATTTATAGTGTCTTACTCTTTCTATCATTCTCGCATTTCTGAGCTTTTCAGAAATGGCTTTTTATTCTTGCATCTAATATACACCTTTGTCGGACTAACAACCACTATATCAGAAAAAAAGATTAGGGGACTGATTTATTGATTATTATTGTGTATGACGTTATTGAATAATTGCTCAGTAGTTAGACTGTGTATTCTTTTTATTATGATGTTTCGATTAACTCATTAACTAATTTTGTATGATTTAAAATTGTTTATCTTTTGTCAGTTTATCATTCACAGACAAGCTCAAGTAAAAATGTAATTTTTTTCATTTTGTGGTATGATACTACGGTCTAGTATGTTTGGCATATAAACTATATCTGCTTGAAATATAATGGAATTTTTTTTAGAGACTGGTTACGAACTTTTGAAATGAGAGAAGCAGCAGGATAAAGAGAAAGAAGCTATCGAATAGTGCATCATTAAGGATTTTTAGTGTTCACTCGTGATGTCTGGTGCTAATTCTGATTGGCATTTTGTATTTTGGATTAGCCATTAGGGATATAAAACTCCGCCAGTAGAACCTTCGGGGCTACTGCCGGTCCCAAGTCCGGGTAAAGGAGGAGGGTTGGACATGGGGTTGGCGACCCCATTCCGTCAAAAACTAACTTGCCAAAAAAACGCTAACCAGAAAAAATAATTCAAACCATTTTAACTCTGCCCTGGGAGTTGGAGGAAGAATTATGACGTCGCGTGATGAAAGCCGAGTTCTCTCGAGAGTCACGGGGACGATGCCTCTTCCGACAACCAGAGCAACCATTCTTTTAGGTACATGGAACGTTCGTACATTGTGGGAGACTGGAAGACTATTTCAAGTTGCGGCAGAAATGAAAAGATACAACCTTGAGGTGCTCGACATCAGTGAAACGCATTGGACACAGGTAGGACAACTGAGACTAGCTTCAGGGGAACTGCTGTTATACTCAGGTCATGAAGAGGAAAATGCTTCACATACACAAGGAGTTGCACTGATGCTGTCCAAACATGCACAAAAGGCACTGATAGGATGGGAATCTCATGGACCCAGGATCATTAAAGCATCTTTCAAAACAAAGAAAGAGGACATTACAATGAACGTCATCCAATGTTATGCACCTACCAACGACTACAATGACGATGATAAAGATCAATTCTACGAAAGGCTGCAGTCAATCATCTGGAAATGTTCACCAAAGGATTTGACGATTCTTATGGGAGACCTGAATGCCAAGGTTGGAATGGACAACACTGGATATGAAGACATCATGGGACGACATGGACTGAGAGAAAGAAACGAAAACGGTGAGAAATTTGCAAACCTATGTTCCTTCAACAAACTGGTCATCGGTGGCACAATATTCCCGCACAAACGCATTCACAAAGCCACATGGATTTCACCGGACTACACTACTCAAAACCAAATTGACCATATCTGTATCAACAAATGTAGGATGTGAGAACCAGGAGAGGAGCTGATATAGCATCAGATCACCACTTACTGGTTGTCAAAATGAAACTGAAACGAAAGAAGCACTGGACAACGGGGCAGACAACATCACAGAAGTTGAATACGGCCTTTCTCCGGGTTACTGTAAAGCTCAACGAATTCAGGATAGCCCTAACTAATTGGCCCACCTACGATTGAGAAGATCAGTATGGCCATCAGACAAATCAAGAGCAGCAAAGCAGCAGGACCAGACAACATTCCAGCAGAGGCAATGAAAGCAGATGTAGAAGCAACTGCGAAAATATTTCACATCCTCTTCAAGAAGATTTGGGATAAGGAACAAGTAACATCAGATTGGAAAGAAGGAAGATACCCGATCAAAATACCAAAGAAAGGCGATCTCAGCAAGTGTGAGAACTACAGAGGCATCACTCTTCTTTCAATACCAGGCAAAGTCTTCAACAGGGTATTGTTAAACAGAATGAAGGACTTAGTAGACACACAACTTCGAGATCAACAGGCCGGATTTCGTAAGGATCGATCATGTACTGACCAAATTTCTACATTACGGATCATTGTGGAACAATCAATTGAATGGAACTCACCACTCTACATCAACTTCATCGACTACGAGAAAGCATTCGATAGCGTGGACAGGAAAACACTGTGGAGGCTTCTTCGACACTACGGTGTGCCTGAGAAAATAGTTAACATCATACGGAACTCTTATGATGGATTCAACTGCAAAATCGTACATGATGGACAGCTAACAGACTCTTTCGAGGTGAAGACCGGTGTCAGGCAGGTTTGCTTACTCTCACCCTTTCTCTTTCACGTGGTCATCGACTGGATTATGAAGACGTCGACATCTGGAGGAAAGCACGATATCAACTGGACTTTTAGGACGCAGCTGGACGATCTGGACTTCGCAGATGACCTGGCTCTTCTATCGCAACAACAAATGTAAGAGAAAACGACCAGTGTAGCAGCAGCCTCTGCAGCAGTAGGTCTCAACATACATAAAGGGAAAAGCAAAGTTCTCCGATGCAACACAACATGCGCCAACCAAATCATTCTTGATGGAGATGCCTTAGAGGACGTTAACACCTTTACATATCTTGGCAGCATCATCGAAGAGAAAGATGGATCCGATGCAGGTGTGAGGGTGCAGATTGGCAAAGCAAGGGCTGCATTTCTACATTTGAAAAATATCTGGAACTCCAAACAACTTTCAACCAAAACCAAAATCAGGATTTTCAATACAAATGTCAACACAGTTCTACTGTATGGAGCGGAAACTTGGAGAACTACGAAAGCCATCATTCAGAAGATACAAGTGTTTATGAACAGTTGTCTACACAAAATACTTCGGATTCGTTGGCCAGACACGATCAGCAACAGGGTACTGTGGGAGAAAACAAACCTGATTCCAGTGAAGGAGGAAATCAGGAAGAAACGGTGGAAGTGGATAGGACACATATTGCGGAAAGCAGCTAACTGCGTCACGAGACAAGCCCTCACATGGAACCCTCAAGGCAAAAGGAAAAGAGGAAATCCAAAGAAAACACTACGTCGAGAAATAGAGAAAGATATGAGAGGAATGAACAAAGATTGGACAGAACTGGAGAGGGAAGCCCAGGACAGAGTTGGTTGGAGAAAACTGGTGAGCAGCCTATGCTCCATTGGGGGTAACAGGCGTATATAAGTAAGTAAGTAATTAGGGATATAACAGCAACAAATCGCTTAGTGAAGTTTTTTACTCATCTGTATGATTATGTTGTTGAATTTCTTTTCATACAAATAAATTTACTCATTGATTTTTTTTTCACTTAGAATCTAAACTCGCCTCTGCATCATCTGCAATTAGAGCGAAAAATCTTGTTTGTAAATTGTCAAAATTAGCAAAACGTAAAATAGTTGTCAATGAATCAAGAATTTTATCAAAACGAAAATCATCTAAACGTATTGTTAATACTGGTAAAGATCAACTTTCAATGAAGGATGATTTGTTGAAAAATCAATTATCGTCAGAATCTTCATCAACGGTGATGATGATCAATAAAGAATGCAAAAATCATCAGTTAAATCTATTGACTGATCACAGTAAACAACAAATGATTATGAATGAATATCAAACGAATGAATGTTCATTATCAAATAATTCGGTAATTAATAAAGAAGATGAAGAAAGTAAATCTGTATCGATTGTAAGTGTAATTGATTATTTGAAGCGTATATATTAAACTACTTGTCCAACTATAGTATGAACTGTATAATTTGTGTGAAAACTCTTTTAGTAGAACTATAGAGGATGCAAGCATGTTCGGGATGCGGTTCTCACCCTCGAAATGCAAAATGTTGCTTCACGATTGGCTTGCGACTTCACCGGAACTAGTGGTAGGGAGTGAAATAGTAGAGCGTGTAGACCGCTTCACTTATCTCGGGAGTCTCATCAGTGCTGATGGCCTGATGACTGACGAAATCTCAGCATGGATACAGAAAGCTCGATTGGCTTTTGCCAAGTTGCATCACTTATGGCGAATGCGAGATATCCGTTCTCTGACTAAAGGACGAGTGTCCTGCGCAGCAGTTCGCTCCGTTTTACTATATGGATGCGAAAAATGGCCGTTAAGAGTAGAAGATGTTCGTAGGTTACTAGTATTCTATCATCGATGTTTTAGAAGCATTGCTCATACATAGTGGGACGACCGAGTGAGCAACGCTGTTATTAGGAATCAGGTGCTAGCTAAGATTGGCAGATCAATAGATGAAGTAATGAAACTTCATCAGTTGAGATGGTTGGGACATGTGTTGCGTATGCCTAACCACCGACTGCCTCGACTAGCTTTGTTTTGTAGTGTACGAATAGGTTGGAAGAAAGCTAGGGGTGGCCAAACCAAAACATGGCAGAAATCCATGAAGTCACTGACAAGTAGACTGAGTCATGTTGGTAGATGTAGACTAGCTGTTTGGTGTCCTCGAGACGAAAGTCACCAGTGGTTAGAGACCTTGAACGACATGGCTCACAATCGTTTGCAATGGCGCAAGTGCATCCATTTGTATTGCTCTCTCGAATCCTAATCTGGATTCGTCAGCACCCCTATCTTTGTCTTTCTAACCTTATGTCACTGAATTATACTTCTTGAATAATATCTTCAAACCCTAGTCTTCTTCATTACCATTAATACGTCTACTATCTTTATCACTATGGGATTTGATTTGACATTTGCGTCTCTGTGTTAATGTGGTATGGCAACATGAACCTACGTACATACGTACGAAGTTCTACGTTGCAACTGACTGACTGAGAACTATAGAAGCTCGACAGTATGCTTGATGGTGTTTAATTGTATATTCATGTAGGGATGTAAGTTAAAAATGAATTGTTTATTTATCAGAACTACAAGAAAACTATCGATAATTTGTGATCTTTCTAAGAGTATTTTGTCTAAATTATGATTTCCCCTTGTTAATATTTTTTGATGGAAGGTGTATATTTCCTGTCTTTGAAGTAGTAACATTTGTACTTGATTGTAACTACCATAGTTTTTATTTTGTAAAACTTTGGTTATTTTAATAATCTTAATCATTGAAATTATCAATCAATCAGCTTTAGACCGCCATTAGAAACCTGGAAAGACTAGAACGCCGTTTCATCCTGGTAGAGGACTCGCAAGCGGTGCGCACTCTCTACTCCTGCATGCAGCAATCGGACCCAGATCCTTAATTCTTGCACGCAAATGCCTAATATTTAAACCACTGAACCGGCATTCAAAGGTGTTGATATCTAACTTGAATCAGTCCAGGATACTGCACGACGATCATCCATTGCCTTCTATATGTGACGTGGGGTTTCGCACTAGAATGAAACGACGGTCCAATACTTCCAGGCTTACAAGGGTAGTCTAACACTGATCGATTCATGATTTCAACGAAGTTAATTATTCTCTACCACCCACGCCAAGTTTTTAAATTAGTTCGAATTGCTGCCTACAATTAAAATTCTCATCCCTATGCATTTTATTCAAACTCAGAGTGGCACCTGAATATTTTTGCACTATGCCAATCAGTGAATTTAGTTGTGGGCTAGGTTTCTGTTCGAGTGTCCGAAGCGAAGTAAATGGTTTTCTTAGGGAGTCACTCACTGATTCCACCAAGCAGTGGGGCAAAGTTAGGAAATGCGATCCCATGTTATCTGCTAACCAATAGTAAATTCACATGTTATTTGTTACTTCAGTATCCTGGAGCTAATGTACAGTGTTGGTTTGGAATCTAGGTTTTCTAACTCCCCTAGATGGGCACCCCGTACCCACAATTCATAATTGTTTCAAGCTGCCTATCCAATTAAACCAGTATTTTTAAATCCGTTGCTTAACATCTTCATTTTGTAAATTCTCTCATAATATGTTTTCGAAATCTCAGTTTAAACAAGTGACTGTTTTGATTGAAAACTATTTTACAACACTAAGCTAAGAGTTTTAACTTGGTTTCCAAAAAATTCGTAGTTCAACTACTATATGGGACAACCATACCAAATTGTATTTAATTAACGACTTGTAAACGCTAGTCAATTAGTTTTTAATTTTTATTGATTTCTACCTACAGTCTGTGATGTTTCATGATCATAGTCCTACCTCCTTCCGTCTCGCACACACACAGGGAGAAAATCTCTTCCAACCAAATTCAGAACCTTAAACTTCTGTTACTTATCGTCTATCAGTTACTGTGCTATGTTTTCCTCAATGTCCACATTGTCTTTTCTCATAAATATTGTCTGGAATTTTTTTTTATTCATTGTGAATCTACCGTTCCATGTATAAATTAATATTCTATTTTTTTTTGCCTCATTATTAACAGCGTGAAAAACCTCAGAAAAGTGTAACAAAACCAAATCGACTTAAAGAAAAAGGAGATGATATCTCTTCACATCGTTTACAAAAGAAACTCAACAATCTTTCAAACATCATAGAGAAAGGAAAGACAAACAAATCTACTGGTATAGAAGAAAAACCTGTTGATTCTTCGATTGGTAGTGTTTGTAGTAGCAGTAGTAGTAGCACAAAATCTTCAAATAATTTACAAACTAAAAAGTCAACAAAATCAACTATGGACAGTCAACAAGCTGCTAAGACACCTAAATTTACTAATCATTCTCAATTACATTGTGAAGATATATCCGATGCAGAGTCTCCTTCTCATTCAAATGAAAGAAAGTTTATTCCTAAACTTTCACGTTCTCGATTAAGGCATTCTACTCGAAATTCAAGTAATTCATCTTTAAACACAAACCGAAAACGGATACGCCTTATTAAATCGTCAACTGCCACAATATCGAATAGTAGTTCGAATGCTTCAGATGCTGATGATATTGTCGGTGATAATAATAATAATAATAATAATAATAATAATAATAATAATAATGGCGATGACGATAATAACAATGAACAAAAACTTCATTGTTCTTTTGATAGTTCTCCTAATCAAAGTATCATTGGTGGTGGTGGTGGTAGCAGTAGTAATCATAATACTACTAATAATAATATCAGTAGTAGTAGTTCAGAAAGTATTTATGCTCCTAATGATGCACTGCCACGACTTACACGTAGTCAACATAAACAATTATTAGGTGATACACCACCTGGTTCAGCTTTGCAAACTGCAGCACCGGCAATTTCTAATCGTACTGCTTCATCGGTGGTTGCTGCAAAACTTTTATCCAATTCTAAACGATCTCGTACAACAGCAAAAGATATGCATAAACTTGTTCAATTAAAAAATGAGCAACAATTGCCAGAGAACATTGAAAATACGCGTAAAATTTCATCTCCTATTCATACAGGTATTATATAAAAAACAGTAGCGTTTTATTTTCTTAATTTTTTTGCTCATGAATAAAACTTATCAGTTTTTTTTAAATATTGCATACAATTCCATATTTTATGGCACTTACTGAAAACTCAGTAAATTCATTCTACTTTTTGCTTAGTTGTTAGTGCAAATATTGAGGAATATACATCTAATGATGAGTTTCACCTCACTATACAAGTCTGATACAGTGAAAAATATGCTGAATTAGTTTTATGTATATCGAATTTTACTAAAAAAAAGCCATGTTTAATACTAGTGGTTGGTTCCAAAGAATGAAATTATGACTCCTTCAACCTAAAGTCTTATTTTTCTATAATATTTCATATTTGATTTCGGTAGATTGAGTTTTCGTTATTATTTCATGCGTTAATCATTCTCTTTCATTTAATTATAATTATAGCTTGTACTGAAAGAGTTTGTTCAATTTCATTGTGTTATATTTTAGGCATTATTGAGATATAAATAATCTATTTCTCATTTAAAGTTACGCAAATTTAAATACTGTATGAATCAATTCATTATCATTTAGTGTATTTCATCACTCTTATACAGTATAATATGTTATGCTGTTGTATCAGTCAGTCAATCAGTTAACAACAACATAGAACTTCGTACATACGTACATCGGTTCAAATTGCCATAACACATTAGCACAGAGGTACAATTGTCATTTGAAATCCCATGGTAGTAGACGTATTAAAAGTATCAGCAGTAATCGAAAATGTTAGGGTTCGACGATATTATTCAAGAAGTAGAATCTAGTAAAATTAACTTAAAAAGAAAGTAAAAGTGATGTGCAATTGAGAAGGTTAGAATTTTAGAGAACACAATGAGTTGATGCACCTGCGCCACTGCAAACCAGTTAGTCGACACCTACTAACATGACTCACTCCACTTGTCAGTGACTTGATGGATTTCTGCCATGTTTTGGTTCGGCCACCCCTAGCTTTCTTCAAACCTATTCGTACACTACAAAACAAAGCTAGTCGAGGCAGTCGGTGGTTAGGCATACGTGACACATGTCCCAACCATCTCAAATGATGAAGTTTCACTACTTCATCTATTGATCTGTCATTCTTACCTAGCACCCGATTCCTAATAACAGCGTTGCTCACTCGGGTGTCCCACGATACTCGAGCAGTGCTTCGAAAACCAGTAACCTAAGAATATCTTCTACTCTCACTGGCCATTTTTCACAACTATGAAGTAGGATGGAGCGAACTACTGTGCAGGACATTCGTCCTTTAGTCAGAAAACGGATATTCTGCCTATGCCATAAGTGACGCAGGTTGGAAAATGCCAATCGAGCTTTCTGTATCCATGCTGAGATTTCGTCAGTCACCAGGCCATCGGCACTGATTAGACTCCTAAGATAAATGAAGCGGTCAACACTGCTGTTTAGTGAATACTTTAACTCATTTTCAAGTTTTGGTTTATCATTTGTCCTGTAATCTTATCTTCACTTACTTTGATAGATACAATCAAGTCATCATTGTCACCATCATCATCGTCTGAAGTGAATTATATACGTGATAACATACCGGATATTCAATCAGAAGTTTCAAAGGACGAAATATGCAGCATTCATAAAACGAAAGATAATGATGCATCAATTGAAAATGAAATTTCACCGGACATTGAATTGAATAATATGAATTTGTCTATCAAACAGGAAACCACTGAAAATGCCCTAATTCAAAATGTTCCACATTTATCTCCTGAACTTATTGATGATGATGATGATGATGATGATGTTGTTGTCGATAATGATAATAAACAAGTTAATAAATCAGAAATGAATGAATTACAAGCAGAAGACACATCTCCACCATCTATAAATAGACATGAAAAGATGAAAAAGGAAGACGAAGAAGAAACTGTTCAAAAAGTCAAAGAAGATCATAGAATGCCACATGATAATAACAATGATGATGACGATGATGACAATGATGATGATCAAAGTTCCGTTCAAACTATGAGTACAGATCCTATGGATGGATTATCATATGATTTAACTATGTCTTCAGAAAAAACTCATTTACATTTATCTTCAAATAAAGAAGATGAAGATGTGGAATGTTGCTTAGACAATGAACATCATCGTCATCAAAGTCAACATCACACTGATGATATATCTGGAACTATAGGTTCTTTGTCAGATGATGAATATCATCAACCAGTTGATGAAATTGTCGAAGACAATGAAGAATTAGATGTGACCGTTGCGAATAAGCCTTTTATAGAACTTCCTACAATAGATGAAGAAGATCCACAACAGCAACAGCAACAACAACAAGATGAAGATAAAGTTGGTGAATTAGATCAGGGGAACAGTTCCAAACCATCATCTCGTGGTCGAATAAGACGATCAAGCAATAACAGTAATTCAACTGATGCTTCAAATAAACGTGTCAATAAACGTATGCATTTAACTCCACATCGTGTTACAGTATGTGTTGTTTTTTTGGTACTTTATTCTCATCTATGGATTTTATTATGTGCTTCATTTCGATTTAGATAAAATGATTGTTTTGTGAACTATTTATTAGAAAACAAACAATCGATTTGTTTTCCTTTGTCTGCTGTTAAATTTAATGATCTCATCAAGTAGTCAATTAATAATATGCACTAGTAATACCAAGCTATTACATTAACTGAAACTGTCATGACGTCACTAAAAATCTTTAGTATCAATGATATATTTATCATATCCATTAAAAATTTAATAGCTATCTGGACTCAATAGCCTCATGGATAACAAGTTGAGTGCGTGGAGTGAAAGGTATGAGGTTCTAGTCCCAGTATACAGATCAACACTGGAATGTAAGTATATATGTCTGATGAGTCCCATATAAGACAAAACTGGTGTTTTAGATTTCCATGTCAGTCACAATTCATCTATTCTAAGAAAAAAGAATAAATTGTAACTAAATAACTGTCATATACAACCAGTTCGCTCTTGATATACAGCTAAGGTAATAGAAACTGATTAATTAAAGTCCTGAATATCAACAGTAAAAATTACGAATCTTTATTCATTAAAGCTGTTTCGGTCAGAAGGTGAATCCTATTGATTGCATCTTGATAGAGTTTTACTTACTTGCAGAAGCTATCGGTTTCCACATATTTATATTCTCAAATATAGATAATACTTGATAGGAATTTCCTAATTCTCCTCTTTCTAATATTATATCAGTTTTTTGGTCACATTAACTTCACTGAATACCATTATGTTTAAAGCTGTTAGAAAATCGTAAAGTAAAATGAATGAACTCTTTTTTGTATGAATGTTGTTTTTACCTTGTTCAAAACTATTAAATGTTATGAACATTTTGATAATTATTGACACTGAATACCTACCTATTCATGAACTCTAAGAAATCAGTTAACTATTTTGTATTACAGTAAAGTTTCGATTCTATTTATTCAACATGTATCAATTCTGGTACAACTAAAGCACCAATACATCAAAGAAATAAAAAGATTCTATTATTAAGTGATAAACAAAGGAAAGAGATCACGGTTAAGGAAAAAAAACGGTGAAAAAATAAGAATACGTAAACCAGAATACAATGTGTTCGAAGATATAGTTCATTTTTAGTTAGAGGAGTTCAACTCATTGAGTTGCACCATCTGTAGGACCTTGAGTAGGGACTTGTAATAGACTAAAAGATGTCATTCTTACATAGGTCGCTTAATTTCATACCATGTCGTCAATTAATCAAATGATCGCTTCACTTTTCCCAACTGTTCCGATCGTCAGCAAACAGTGCAAGAAGTAAAAACTCCTGGGACGACATTTGTAAAACGTTCAACTCGCTGAAGATGATAAAACCATTTGAATTATCGACGCGAGTAGAATACATATTAGCGATCCTACGAATCGTTAACATAGTAGTGTTATCGAATATCAAGAAATGTTTGTACACAATGATGATTTAATACAGTGAATGGCTGAATATCCTTAACTCGGTGACATCAAATCTCACAAACAACACAACCTTTCACACGAATAAGTTATTAAATTCTGTTTTTTCTCAATCAAACTAATATCACGTTGGACCATATTAGCACAAGCCATCTTCTCGCTATCACAACAAAACACACATAGTCCCTAAAAGCATAAAATTCAGTCTTTGTAAATACTGTATTGTCAATAGCAATAATTTATGAAAAATAACTTATAACTTATGTTTCTTAAAGTGTTCACTGTCAGTCGTTATTTTATCTTTACTTCTGATAACATCTAATGTACATCGACAGCTAATGAATCAATCAACGATCAAAGTGAAACACTTGTTTCACTTAGAACTTCATAATTTTTGTTTTTAGTGTTATTAAAGAAAACCAATGAAATGAGAGAATTAATCATGTGTTACTGTAGTCGTACAATGAATCCCAGTGACCATGACCATATTACTTTTAAATGTACGCTACACAGTCACCAGATAATGTCATCGTCATATAAAAATAACTATTTCAAGAAGTATTTAGTAATTTTATAAATATTTTCCTGTTTTATGATGATTTTAACTTCATTTTATAAACGAAACAAACTTGTAATTACAGGGCTCTGAAAATTCTCCAAGTCCTGCTTTTGAATCCCCTCATTATCATCCTCCAACATCTCCACATTCAGCACTCGGAGTATCACCGTTGCCTAGTTGTTCGAAGTCACTTCAAAATCATCCACTTGATCGTTCTACATCTAATCATAGGCGATTTGGAGGACCATTCTTTCCAATCGCGGGTTTTGATGATCTGTCTTCTGACGTTAAATGTCAAGCAAGTTATTTTTATTTCTATATTTTTATACTGATATTTATAAGGTGCTTTCTAAGCAGACAGGCAGACAGATACAACGCAGAACATCGTACGTTAGTACATCAGTTCAAGTTGCCATACCACATCAGCACAGAGACGCAACTGTTAGTTCAAATCCCATAGTGGTAGAGATAGTAGAAGTATTAGCGGTAATTGACAAGATTAGGGAGCGAAGTTATGATTCGAGAAGTATAATTCAGTGAGATAAATTTAGACGGAGGACGATAGAGATTATGAGGAATTCAGAAGGTTAGAATTAGAAAGAACACAAAGAGTGGATGCACCTGTGCCATTGCAAACGATTCTGAGCCATGTCATTGAAGGTCTCTAACTATTGGTGACTTTCGTCTCGCGGGCCGCAACCAAGTAACCTACATCTACCAACATGTTTCATTCCACTTGTCAGTGACTTGATGGATTTCTGTCATATTTTGGTTTGGCCACCCCTATCTTTCACCCAACCTACTCCTACACCACAAAACATAACTCAACTGATGAAGTTTCACCACTTTATCTATTGAGCTTACAAACTGAATATACTATCCTTTTTTGTGCGTTAGAGTGTAAATCTGGAATTTTTCTTATGTGAAATATGCCTATATATCTCTTTTTAAATTTTGAATTTCGATATTTATTCTTTGATATATTTTTCACTCTTTTTTATTATCATCACTACTACGTTATTTCTATATCTGCTTTGATTTATCATGTTGCAATCATCTCATTCTGTTAATGTAGTACGACAATTTGAATCGATACACATTCTTGCCCTGTTTCAATCATGTTTGTTTGTTGTCTTGTGTTAATGTAGTTGTTATAATTCTCTCTTTGTTACAACCCAAATATCCCTAAGGCTTAATATTCTCGGACACTAATTCACTCGAAACGTTGTCCCGAATCAGAACACGGTTGGACAGGAAATAGAGATTATATTCCATTAATAAGGTTGAAATGGAAGACAGAAGGTCCAAAGGAAAAAGACGTTAGTGTATTTATAGTTTTCTCACGTGAAGAGATTCTAGGATGTTCCCTCATTGTCGGCTATCGCTGATTGGATACCAAAGAGCCAATCAGTGCTCAACAACGCAATCATGCTTTAATCCAATCTATGCCCCACTAACAGTAGTATTTATCTTCTAATTTATATATATATATATATATATATGTAAAAACTGAAACACTGTAAATTGAGAATTGTTAATAAGAGTTGTGTTGTTTTTTCTACCAATCACAATCATATTTCTTTTCTTTGCCTCACTTTTTTTTAGGTTTTACAAGAACGTATGCATAGAATATTGGAAGCATGGCGTTTAGCTAAACAATATCTTAAAGATTTAGATCAACGAAGTAATCGTACACGTCGTTTAAAAGCTCGACAAAATTTAGAAACATTGACTACGTCGAATACCACCACTGCAGCATCACAAAATTGTCGACAACTTATCGAGGAACCATCATCACATGGTAATAACGATGTAGCATACACATAATCAACGTTATTCTTATCATTATTACTATTATTCTGATATGACAAGAGTTCTATACGCATGTATAAATTTTCTTTAAGATACACACTATTAATATATTTTATATTTTTGCTTCACAGAAAACAAACACAAACTATATGTATGTGTTTATTTTATTTTGATTTGAAAATTATTTCCTATCCGACTGTTTATCTATTATTATTATTATTATTATTATTATTATTATTGCTGGTGTTGTTTTCTTTCTATTATGTCATTGTATTATTTATTTGTGGTTGACTCTTGTTGTTGTTCACAAAAATTACGTAGTTTAAAATCACTTGACATTTTACTCACATTATTGTATTATTGTATATAGTTATAATAATGTATGTAGTTGATATATGTGGCTTAAATTTTTATCAATAATATATTTGTATATTTATTCAAATTATTGTATTTAATTTGGTTTTGTTATAACTAAGTAAAGACTAATATGGTTTTAATCCAAGCGACAATGTAAACAATCACTGTAACGAATACAATAAGTGGTATATAATTACTTCGCTCCAATGCCTTCCACTTTTCAATTGAATTTGTAACAGAATGAAGGTATTCATTTATAATTTTTGATTGAACTTTGACCAATCTTATATTCATATATGGATTGCCTTCATATAACCACCACCATTGTCTCAAGTTTATGCAGAATAAATGAGATTTGGCTAGCGTTGGAATCTAGAATGCACGTTTAGTCGTATGTAAGACTCGCTACCGTCACCTCGAAATTTACTTCGTGAACATGCATTTTGAGCACCGGGTACATCTGGTTTATGAGTCGATCTCAAGTAGAGCGAAATGCGTATTCTCGATTTCTGCTGGCTACATTTCATTTTCCTCTTTCTTTTTGAATACCTTGTAGTAGATCAGCTTGAATGGTAGTTGTTCTTTGTAATATATAGCCTCATTATTTGATGACCTATTTTGTTGATTTTTTAGTTGATAGTTTTACACAAAACATCTATGTCTTATGATCATAAATTATTTCTTATCGGTTAATTTTTTGGCAAATTCGAACCAGACAAAGTGAATTTTGAAAGTATTTAGTCATGTATCAATTAGGAAGGCTTCTTAACTGGTCACATCTTGAGACATATGTACATCCTTGAGTGTTGCATATGAAACTTCTTAGTTTGATTGGTTCCTGGATTTTTGAAAAATCTATAATCTCCACTCAGTCACCCTCAGTATGAATATATTGATTGACTAATTTGGATTCTCAAAAGTATTAAGCATCTTATCGATTGGTATGTATTGTTTGTTGCAATAAATAGTTTGAGTCACTGTCTCATCAAATCTGCATACTTCTGAGCGCAAATAGACACATTTTTCTGTATTTGAAAAAGCATATTTGTCTTCTGATGTGTTATAAAGATCTTTTAGGGGATTAAGTATTTGTAAAGATTGTATTGTTTTCATAATTGAACTCACGAACTGACCTTATCTGGACCACCATTTAAAAATCTAGAAGAACTGGACGGCCATTTCGTCCAAGTATAGGACTCCTCAACAGTTTGAATGCATGTAACAACCGAACTCAAGGTCTTCAGTCCTGCACGCGAACGCTTTAGCTCTAAACCGGTGATCTTGTATCCAAAAGTGTTAATTTCTATAATCTTTCAAAACTGCAGCAGATAACTATCTCACACCCGACACCGATTGAACTCCACTGGCCACAAATTATTAAAAAATAAATTCCTCACAGTTGCACATGCATTAGGCTGGATTTGAGTCTTGAATGTAGTTGCATCCAGCTGACCAGTCTCTATTTGGACGAAACGCACATCCTGGATTCTACTGCCAGTCACAATTTATCTTAACCTCACACTGTGGGTCTGTTACTCATGCACGTGAACACGTCAGTAGATTTGCTTGAACTATTACGAGTTTACCTTATTAGGAAAAGGAGGGCGAGTATCGATGATGTGGTGACACGACATGCTACTCTTATTTGAATGTCCCAAACCCCCATTGAGTAGACGAAGAAGACTTAAAATGAAGTAGAATATGTATTCTACAAGCGTCCATAGAGTACGAAGTTCGGGTCCAGAAGATGATAAGGATCCGAGTCCGGCTCATAAAACGTTACACACAATTCGTATTTATACAGTTAGGCCGAATAGGAAACAACATTGCAGTCTGTGACATCGATAGTTGAGACGACCAATAGGAATTGACCAATAAAGTTAGACGTACAAACAGATCATCTTAGGATATTGGATGAATATCCTAACAGGGTCACGTGACTCGACGGTCGCGTTACATTATTTAGGAAACTAATCACCCGTATGTGTACATTACATTGTTTACCGGCGACCGATTTCTCACTGAACCTAAGACTTTCTACCCAGTTTTGAACATTCATTTCAACTTTACTAACTAAAGTAAGTCAAAACTCTGCTTCTCTTTATGTTATTCATTGTAACTTTAGACTATTTATAACTGGTAAAAAGTAGTCGAACAGATTCAACTTATTTCATTCTACACATCTTTTATCTCAAAATTATCAAGCAACGAAATATAAAAATTTCTCAAATCACTCAATCTTTTATTTTCCAAAGTCAGCTCCGCACTACCCTGTTGAATGCCTTGTATTATTTACTAATAATAAGTATTTGAAATGTGAAATTGATGATAAATTTTTTTTGAAACTCTTTGTAAAATGCTTTCTTCTCCTCGATTATTATTGACTCATGAATTTTCTATCCATCTTCTTTTTTTGAAGCTTCGTTCTAACCAGTTTGGATGATTTGTTTATATCCACTGCTAACTACACACTTGAGGTCTTTTTCTTAGTATGAATCTTGTAACTTTTTTTTATTTACTGAAGAGGAAACTCATATTCGTACATTTAGTAAAACAACTAACAAAGCAAAGAGATGTTACTTCTCTGTATTCATCTTTTTTGCGCTCATTTGTTTAATCATTTTTTTGATGAGAGCTGGTGTATTTAACAAGGAGAAGTTTGGTAATTTCCTATTATTGGTCTTAATTTTCAAAATTACATATTTCGAATACGTTTTATGCATAACTTTCTCATTTGTTTGTTTACTCAACAACAACACATTAACGTGCAATACAGTAATTGCTAATTAACGATCTTTTGTCAACCTGTAGAATTATCTACTCGCATAGCTTAGAAAAAGTTCTGTAATGAATGTCAAAGCCCCCAAATTGTAATCGACTGAATTGACGTCAGTATAGTTCACACCATTCGTTATATACTTGACCGAGTTTGAGTTTATGCCGTTTATCATTAGTGTTAGCACAATATATATTCAAGTCAGTGTTGTCAACTGTTGTAAATGAATTGGAAGCCGGTAAATATCTATAAGTCTTATCAATGCTAATAAAGTGTTATATACCTATCAGTGATGTTATCAAGCTTACAGAAATCAAAATTTGACAAATTACATGTCCACACTTGTATTTTGTCCTCGTATGTTTGTAATCGATGTTAAAATAAGACATATCTAATAGATAATATTTTTATATCTGATCATCTTAGTTTTGTTCTGACCGAATGCCCCGTTTACTTTGTTTATTGTTTAACATGATTATTTAATAAGTGATCGATAGATATATTATCGAATGAAGCGACTACATTCATGGCATTAAATTGATTTTTGACAATTTTGACAAGCATTTGAATTCACTCAGTCGAATCGGCTGTAAATGAAATAGTAAGTAAGGCATGATTATAGTTCTTTTCGTTTTAAAAAATTAATAATGAATAATAATAATAATGATTAAGGTTGAATGTATCACCCAATGTGTACCCAACATGATATTTTAGACTAAGTCATAAAGTGCTAGATTATCATCTTATTTTGAATTGTAATGAAGTTTGATCTGAAAGTAGTCCTCTATCATTTTAATTAGTGTCTATTGATAAATTAATTTTTTATATTCGAAAGTGAATCGCAAACAATGAAGTAGTAAGTGTGTTAAAGGTCAAGGGACTTTTAAGTTCCAATTGCATTCTGTTACACAATATTGTGTTTATTTCACTTATAAATTACTCGAAAAAGCCTTTCTTACTTATTGTTTTTTAGTTAGTCTAGAAAATTTCAAGTTTTTTTTATCTGCTGAATATACTTGACATAATACTGTTCTATAATATACTCCAGACATCCATAGTCACAGACAGATCGAATTCACGTGACCACATAACTGCAATGTAAGCGGTTGACGTTGTGTGTGCATCATCATGAATCAATAATAATTCACTCTAAAATAAATATCATGTATTTACTGATGTACTGTCATCATACTGACTTAAAAGTGAACGAAAAGTCTGTGACCTTAAATGAAATTAATGTAGAAAAACCTAAAATGGACACATTTAATAGTAGAGATGATATAAAACACTGCTCAATTTGTGTTTTCATTATTTTCACATTGATAACAACGAGGTAAATGACAAATGGTCAACATTGAAATTGGTTTTCGTTGAATGATTTGTGATTGTGAAACTATAAAGAACAACTGTAGCTTCTTTCAAAATGCCCAATTAATGTCTCTGAACTTCAGTTGAATTTGATCAAATTTATAAGCTGCGCAAATTAGTAGAAGTGGGAATTAGAGAACTAAGTAATATCAGCAAGTTTTACAGAATAATATAGTATGGAATAAGTTTGATAATTAACTGTTATCAGTATTTCAAGTGTAATCAAAGTAAAATTATATTTGATCTAGAATCACTCTGTATCAAGTAAACAAAAGTGTGTAGGATTTAATTTTGTCCTACAGATGTAATTCTAAAACGTAAACGCAAATACCGCCGATGACAGAGTCCCAAGTGAAACTATAGTTAACAGAAGACAATTCGGTTTTAAACTTTATCTGTTTCTAAACAAATGAAAACGATTAATTTAGTACAATAAATAAGGAAATTACAATTATCAAGCAGGATGAGCAAACGTACCGGACAGTATAGCGTGTCTTTAGAAAATGAATAAAAAACGAGTCACATCTATATAAAATAAAATAATAACATCCTTCCATCGATAGCCCGTTCACAACAAAGAAAGTTCATAGACCGGTCAGACTAGATGACGTGGTGAGCGCTTAACCAATCTGATTGGTTAGTTATGACATAACTACAATTAGTTATAAAATAACTAACACTCCCCCCGAAGCGGTCACCACGTCCAGACCTCGTTGCCGTCGCGCTCGAATAATCGACCTCTTTCAGTAGGCATAGGTTTCGTATATCTCGGTTGATCTCTACGGTGTCTCTTCAATCGAATCGTTCTGACTCGGCCATCGGGACCACAATCGACTTCTCTAACTACAGCTTCCACCCAAAGATTTCTCAGCAAACTAGTATTGTTTACTAACGGTGAGACTCCATGTTGTGGCTTCCTTCTGGTTGACTTTATA